TTGACCTGAAAACAGCACTCATTTACTTTAATTTATATTATTGTCAGAAATATTAATAAAAAATCACAGCTTTACGCCTCTAGCCTTTTGGCTACATTCACTCAGACAATTACGCTCATTGTCTTCAATAGCACACTTCTATTTTGTCTGTGGACACTTAAGCTTTCTCAGAATTGGGGTCACATAAACACGCAGCAGGATATTGTTTCCACTGAGAGCTGCCCCATCTCCTCTTTTCCTTCTGCATTGCTTTTCTCAGTGTTCTCTGACTTGTTTATCTGAGTCAGGTGTGCGGCCTGTGTGCCACATTTTGCTTATTAACTGCAGCTGTGCAAAGCAAAGACGTCTGGTTGTGAGTCTACATTCGAACATCAAAGCCTTCCCCAGATCTTTTCTCCTGCAGTTGCATTTTTAGTTTTTGCCCCGTCAGTTCTACCCTCCCTGCTGATCCTAACAGGACCAATTATTTAGTTAACTGTTCCTGCACAATATACTGGGTGGAGATGTCTGGTCTCCTCAGGAAATTGCTCCCACAGCCCAGACAAAGTGACAAGACCATTCCCACACCCATTGTTTTAGACAATAAATGCTGAAATGATACAATAAAATCAAAGATGAGGTCATTTTCCCTTAGTAGAGCAAAAATAAAGGAACATATTTTGGTGCAACTTGATTTTATGGCCTAAAAACAAAACATTTTCACCACAATGTTACTGTGTTCGAAAGTGATTTTAAAGTTGGAGTGGCCAGTCTGTGTTTGTTTCTGTTTGTTTACAAATGTGTTTATGTGGAGGGGAGACGAGAGCCTCGTGGTTCTGTCCTGCCCTCCCTTGCACTGTATGAGGCAGTGTTTTGGACCGGGGCCCAGCACTGAGCCTGAGGCACGCTGCTCCGCTCCAGCCTCTCCAGAGCACCGACTCACTGACATTACATCAGCTCGGGGAAACATAGTAAGGACACTGTGTGTGTGTCAGAGTACATGCTCCTTTCAGCTTGAGCACAACAAAGTAGTCTGCACATTTCTCCCGGTTCTGAGGCGTCATCAGCAGCTGTAGGAAAAGGCATTAAAACCATGGCTGTGCGCATCATACGTGGGATGGAAGACCTGGTGGCGTCGGGCAGTCAGCTTGTCTGGAGCATGGCACATCAGACACTGAGGAGCTGGTACAACAGCGGGCTGATGCCCTGCAGGCGCTTCCTAGATGCCTGGTTCACGATTGGGAAATGCTACCAGGTATGACAGCTCCTTGAGCCATGGCAGCGGAAATAATTCTGTATAAATAGTTTGAATACAGCGGTTTTTATTTGTTTGCTTTATTGGCTGTCTGCTGGATTCATTACTGAGTGCCAGATGGATCTCTTGAATTGAACTTTTATGGATTGGATTACTTATAATCTGAGTCAGTGCTTTATTCTCATCTGGCTCATTAGTGTATGCATGTGTTTATTTGTGTGGATGTGAGGAGACACAGGCTCTTGGTGAGTCACAGAGCCTGTGTTTTAACAAGGGTCTCTCCCTCAGCATATGGCAGTCATTAGAAAGCAGCATGACCGGCCGTTTGATCTCTCCGGCTGGCTGATGAGAAGAACGTTTTCAAAGTTGTCTTTGAAATGCATTGTTGGAACACCTGAACGCTGTCTGTGGGGTTAACTCTACTTGAAAATGGTCAGGTTTCTCTAGTTTGATTTTTTTTTTTGTCTGAGTATATTGCTATGTGAAAATGTATTAGGGGCTATGAGCTATATTTACCCCCATTATTTACCTATACAGATACAAAAATAAAGTATAAATTAAAAATAGCTTGAAAAATGTACCTGGTGACACTTGAGAACATTTACATTAAGATAGTTATTTGGATCTGCAATTCCCTTTAAATGCTATGAACGAATGTATGGGCTAGGAATAAGGAGAATAAACATTTTTTAATTTTGAGATTATGTCGAAATGTCGAGAAATCTAAATGTGCAGAACAAATTGAACCACTAGCTTCAGCAAATTAGACATTATTCTCCATATTGGATGGCTGGCCCTAAATCTCTTCCGTAAAAACTACATTCAACACCTGAAACTCTTTGAACAGCCCTTTGAGTCTCTGGTGTTATCTTGAAATGAGGTGTAAGAAGAAGCACAAATATCAGATCCCTTTTATCCGTTTTCCCTTCTTCCCGTTTCAGAATGAGAATTTTGTGATTTAGAAAGTTAGGTATTGCCTTTCAAGAATCAAAGTGAAAGTACTGAGTGTGCAGAATGGCTCCTGTTTGAATTATATGTTATTGCTGGATCCTTATTACAGATGCATTAACATGCAACCACTACATTCATTTTGTAGCTTCATTACCTTTTTAACCAGGTCTACCTATTGCTTCATAAGGCAGTAGAAATGCATGATGGCCTCAGTTCATCCTGGTCAGGTCAGTGGGCTGGGGGTCATGTGAAGGGGGCCCCATCAGGGCCGTAATGACAGAGCTTAAGGGGGACGACCTCCCTGTCACTGTGATGACCTTTCCTTTAACATCTGGGACCTCGCTCTGAAGCTCAGGTCCTCTCTGAAGCTCAGGTCCTCTCTGAAGCTCAGGTCCTCTCTTCTGGGGCTGAGCGCAGTGATCTGTCAGCCTCTGAAATATAGAAACTGTCTTTGAAGAGTTGCCAGTTCTTTGTTGTTAATGCAATTGTAAATATTCTACAATATATCTACATCACAAAATGCACTAAATCCTAGGTGAAAAGTCCTTGAGCATTCAGGTGAAAGCACTTGGATTTGAATTAGCATGCATATATTTTAGTGTTAAATCTTACACTCAATGGCTGGCTGTGAGCTTGACTGTTAACTAAAGGCCTTTGTCCATTTATGTTTTGATGTCATTGCCCTGCAACAATGCAGCATTGATAAATGGGAAAGGCTTGTGCCCTGGAAAGACACAATTCATGAAAGGGTTAATTCAATCATGAATCCCAGATTAAACTATGTGTTCAACAGCCACAGTTATGTTTCATGTCATGATACATTAAATCCAGGTGTGGTTTATATTGAGGTTAGCTTCAGTTGTTTTATTATTTTTATTTTTATTGGTCAGGGTTAGTCTTTCCTTTGAAGGACCTCTGCGATGGTATTGTGGTAAAATGTGGGGCTTAAGATGAAAAGTTAGCGAGTTAGCGTGACTGCATATTAAAACGTTTGTTAAGAAGTACAGTTTTAGCCGCAGACCCTAAAATCTCACTGTGGTTGAGGGCGTTGAAAAACAACAAAGTGAAAAAGCAACTTGAGCCGTATAAAGTGGAACGACAGCTCTGTTGTGGTGCACAGAACAATGTGTCCTAGAAGAGTGACGTTTTACGCTCGGAGCCAGAGGGCGTCTTCTTGCTGGACGCTATAGCGTGACCCTCACTTTCCAACACAGGAGCCAAACACTTGGATGCCACATGTGTTTAACTGAGAAAAAAAGAGTTGCAAAGAGCAGCCAGGCAACAAACACAGTCATTTAAGTTCAATGCTTGAGGTATTTCAGAAGTTTCACAGTGTAATCGAATATATCTGCATCTTCTCCATGAAATCTGTACTAAAAAGAGTAGTCTTAAAATATGACATAAAGAGGCTGGCACATGTTACTAAAGATTAAAACAAAAAATACCTATTCATAGTAAAATATTAAGTAGCAATTTAAGATGGTAAGTGAACATAAGGAAGCTGTTGAAAAACGGTCAGGAATAACCATTAGTAGATTATGAAGAAACAATGTAGAAAACCACATAACAGTGATTATTGCCAGGAAGATGATCATAAAGCATCTTCCCAATACTTTTCTTATGAAATAAGTTTTTGTTTGTAAAAGCGATCTAACAGTCCTGGTGGAAATTGGTGCTTTTGGTTTACTTAATGGTTCTGGCATGCACTGCTGTCTCTTTTTCGTTACCTCCACTATATCAAAGTATATATTTTGTGTCAGCCAGTTATGTTGAATGAATGTGACTTCTTTAAAGAATCCTTTAAAACGTGAAATATTCAGCTTCCTGTGGCCAAAATGAGTATTACAAAAACAAAGACAAAACGATCTTGGCAAAAGAAAACCTAACCAACATTTTTTTGACCTGTTTTGAAATATAACAAAGAATTACACACGTTTTTGTTTACTGGTTCTTAACTCATAAACACAGGAAAGAAAACCAATTTAGATCAGACTTAATTAAAGATCAACAGATTTCTTTTTTCTAACTTGACCTCTCACGACCTCTGTATTTAAGCCATTCACTACATAAGACATACACTGTGGAAAGCTACAGTTCTTTCTTTACAATCAAAACAGTAGAGATTCCATTTACAAACAGCATCCCAGCAGATGATACAAACAGAATTCAGACACAGGAATAAAAAACGTTTAAATACAGAATATGAGACTAAACGTTGGCAGAAGTTTAACACACTGAAATATAACTATTATCCATCCCCACAATATGTAAACCTTATCCTGCATTGAAAGGCAGTTCTGCTGAGTGCAACAGAATGAATCCTAAAGCTATTCATCTTAGACAATGCAGCTGCAATTCAATTAAACTATGCAGTGGCACTTCATTGTCTTTGGGAATTTGACATTACAGGGATTTTCTCTGTTGTTGCAGAGGAAGGATGTGTGGGAGAGAAAGACAATAGCATGTGTGGAGGAACTCAGAGTCTTTTTATGATTCATGGTGCACCTATAAAGAGCTGATTTACGGCTGAAATATCTAGTTTTTATACACTTTACACTGATAAACATGAGGATCTTGCAAATTACTTTGATATTTGGGAGTGTGGTGGCTCCTTTTACCTATTCATTCTGCACAAAGGCAAACATGACATTCAGGTGAGTCACTCGAGAGAAAAAAAAAGAAGCTATTTTATCCCCTGGGCTGAAATAGTGGAAGAGCAGCTTTGAGTGGAGAGGTGGAGGTGGAGGTGGAGGTGGAGGTGGAGAGATAGTGTGTAGTGGCTGTGTTGTCATGTCTCATGTGTTTTCTCCTGCAGATGACAGAGGGCCGTCAGTGTCAGGTTCACCTCCTCGATGACAGGAAGCTGGAGCTGCTGGTTCAGGTAGAGGACACTTTCTGCTCGCCTCCTCAGGCACAAACTAGGCTGCATAGACCTGTGAGATTATAGTCATGTGCTGACATTTTGTAGGATTTAATTATGTCTGTAGTTCATTATTGTAAAGAAGTCCTAATCGAATATCCTGTGGTTCCTATTTTGCTTCGATTCCTCATCAAATTGAGGCTACCTTTTGTCACTGTTTCACAGTGTCTCACACACCGCTTAGCATAATAATGATCTACACTAAAGCTAAATCAATTAGTCGACCAATTGATAAGTCATTACAGAAGAAATAATCATCGACTTTTTTGATTTTTCATACAAGATGGGAGAAAGTGCTGTTTTAGCCCATCAAATAGGAAGAGTTCCTGCTTTTCGCTGTTCTATTAAACTTACTATCTTTGGGGTTTGGATTCAAAATATTTGAAGGCTCAAAGGTTTTATGCTCATATGCACAATACAGCGTAGTTGTTGGCAATGAAAATATTAAATCCTAGGCTCTTCCAACAGTGCAAAATACAATAATTAAGACATCAAGTCATAGAAAAAGACAAGGTGACACAATGGTGCAAGTAAAATGCAAGAATAAATGAACTTCAAAAACAAGATATATATATAAAGACATCATTTTGGACTTTGAGAAAATAGGATGGACATTTATCACTATTTTCTGACAATTTATAGACCATAAGATTCATCAATTAATCTAGAAAGATAATTGTTAGTTTTAGCTCTAATCTTGACTGAATGTCTTTGTTTTTAATCTAAACTTTACAGCCCAAGCTGTTGTCCCGTGAGCTGTTAGATTTGGTGGCTTCACATTTTACCCTGAAGGAGAAGGAATACTTTGGGTTGAGCTACATAGATGACACGTAAGTACATTTCCTTCTATAACAGGCTTTTTACAGACAAAACATTCAGCAGTGTGTGTTTGTTTTTTTATACAGTATATTTTCTTTAAATGAAAGAGGTTGGTTGATTAAGAACCAATCCTTTTTGACAGAAGCCTTTACGATAGCAGTATTTCAACACATGATGTGTTCCTCTTTCCCTGAACAGGGGCCAGAATAACTGGCTCCAGCTGGATCGTAAAGTCCTCGATCATGACTTCTCCAAGACTTCGGGCCCTTTGGAACTCAAATTCCTCGTGAGGTGAGTGCTTTTACTGTAAAAGCTTGCCAAATGTTGAATACTGCTGTGCTTTATTAGTAACGTCAGCCGATACTGAAGAAAGGAGAGGCCTAATAAGAAGAATATGGTTTGTGTGTTGAGAGCTTTATGGCCTCCAAGGCATGTCCTGACCAGCAGGTGGCAGCGATGCAACAGTTTACACATGCTTTTTATGTGATTGATAAACTCTTTCACTACAATTAAGTCTCTGATTAAATGCTAAATGTATTGACCTACACATTTCTTCTCAGATTTTACATTGAGAAGATCACCTACTTGAAAGACAACGCAACAGTGGAGCTCTTCTTCCTGAACGCTAAATCTTTAGTGTTTAATGTAAGTGTTTTTAAGCATTATTTAAGCATATATTTATGTTTATATCCTAGTAATTCAATGTTGTATATCCTTCAGTTCCAGATCATTAAACACTTTAGTTGATAGTATGATAAGAGATCTATCCAACAATTGAAAGGAAAAAAGTCTTAATTTACAGATTCATGGGCAACAGATTTCTTTAAACTTGGGGTTGATAGTCAGATGATCAATATGTTGGATATTTCTGTTGTGTTTATATTGAAATGATTCATACCATGCTGTTTATTGAAAAAATAAGTGTCTCAGTAATGTCACAACATTTACATTTTTGAAACTCTTGACGCACACTGATGTTGCTCTTAGTGCTGCGTTCAAGTGCTGTTTGAAATGTCACACTTTTACGCACATTTATTATTCATACGGTCATGCAAGCAATATGTTATTGTTTGATGCAACTATTAGTATTTCCTTCAAAAGTATTTCTCAACACTTACAGAGTTTTGAAAAGTTACAGGTTAAGGCTATTATCAGGATAAGGTGGGGTATTTAGTTTTGATTGATTTAAGTAGATTTTGTAGCTTTTAAAGCAAAGTAAATCCTCACATGAATCTTGTAGCAAGTGTTTCCTCAAAACAATTGGATAACATAGTTCAAAGTGAAATAATACAACGGTATTTTAGTATGGTAACACACAATATTATAACGGACTGTAAGAAAAGTAACGTAATACAGTCACTTGTGTAATTTTGGCTACAATTCAAATAAAGGACAAAGTGTGATACCAGCCATATCGATACAGTTCTAGGAAGATAGTTGCTGTATGTGGATTTGGAACCGTACGAGGAGCACTTGAATGCAGCATATGATTAGACGTTGCAGTGCAGCTTTTTTTTCGCGGGGAGAGCTGGCTGGTCACCATGGGAGACGGAGACTGTTGAACCTGCTTTCGGACCGTACCACTTTACAGAGGGGGCTGTAGCTCCAGGCAGGACCTTCAACTAGTCTTACTGGGGACCAGTGTGTGTTTTGTCGCCTGTAGAAAATTAAGGCTAACTCAGGCGCTGCAGAACAGCAGTAAACACACTTCAGGGATAGTTCCACACACACCGTATTGTGTGTGCGGCAGTGGTTCGGTCGGTAACGGTGGGACGAGGTACGGGACAGGAGGATTTTCAAGTCAAGTGTTTCGGACGGGCTGCACTTTGTGTGCGCATGGTTTTTACGAAAAGACACCGTTAATTTTCAACATTTTTTACAACAGGGGACCATCGAAGTGGAGAGTGAAAATGTTTTCAAGTTAGCCGCATTCGCATTGCAGGTAAGAAGGAGTTTGTCGCAGGCTTTCTGCACTGAAATGTTTGTCACTCACCCACAACATGAATGGAGACGGTTGGTAATATTTGAAAACAGTTGTCTCTCCTGAGGTGCTTAGGTCGGGGCTATTATTAAAGAAACTGTCTCTTGTATAATTAAAATGTGCTTTTAAATGTGCCAGTTTTTTGAGTTAGTGTAATCTCCAGTACTAGATAAATTAACATTTGGTAAAACTAAATGTTTTGATGTTTTATCGTGTAAAGTTGCCATTGTAGCAGATGGTTCAGGTAGCTTACACTAGCATAACAGTTAACTTAAATCAATTAATACGTATTGGATTTTCTTATAGTGCTTTTACTAACTGTATTATTTCCCTCTTTTTAAGGAGGCTAAAGGAGAATACACAAGGTAAGACGTTTTAAAATGTATAACCTAAAACCCTTTTAACGAAATAAATGTAGAAACGTGCAAAGCTGTATTGTCATTTAAAACATGTTTTGAGGGAGCAATTCAGGATACATTGACTTGAACGTAGTTAAAACAAAAAACCTGTACATGTAAAGATTAGTATTTCAAAAGCTATATGTACTTACATGTTGATATGGTTGCTGTTTTGGTTAACACAGGCATCTGTTACCTATTATTTGTAAAGTTTAGTGTGTGTTTCAATATTAGTTTTAATGCTGCAGTGCCTGGTGTGTCAAGTTGTTTGGTTAGTGCTCAGTGTACAAATGATGACTGTATATAGCCTGTTAATGTTCAACTTGACTCTGTTTAGATTTTGTTTTATGCTATACTTCCTTTAGTTAATAATTTCCTTGGTTTGTTCTTGTGACATTGGCCTGAACCCCCTGCTGGCTTGCTGCCAAACATTGTCTTTTTAAAATCTCTTGGCTGTTCTTTTGGCACATGCAATATGTTTACACTTGCAACAAGTTGTTTTTCTGACATGTTGTGATTGCGTCATCTCCTAGTAAATGTCATATGAGCTGACAAACAGTTTGTACAAATGCATGGACATTGTGTGTAGAAGATTTGGTCCATGACACTGATGGGAGGCTCTGTACAAAACTTAGATAGTCTGTTCTGCTCATGTTTTCATAGTGGGGTTTGCTTTCAGAGGCTTGACCTGCTGATAAGGTATGTTGTTTTTTTGTCAGCCGTAGGAGTGAAGGGCATTGGCTGTGATAAGTTGAAAAAAAGCACTTTGAGTGAGTGACTAAGCAGCACAACCTGTGTGTTTTCCCAGAGCGTCGCCTCTAAAGGCCTCCCTGTCCATTATGTTAACACAAAGATGTGTGCTCTGTAAGGAAATGCACGTGTACTGTTTGTATGGCGATACAAGCAATGCTGAAAATGCAGTTTGAGCCCTTGTCAAAATCATTGCCTTTGTTCTGTTGCAAAAAACTTGGCTGCACTTTCTCAAGCTCTTAAAGCGCCCCATTATCTAAAGCATGATTAACCTGATAAATGTTAATTATTAGTCATTGCAGCATTGGTGCAGATTTATGCCGCCTCAGTGTTTTGATTACAAACTACTTCAGTGTGAAGTGCAGTGTGTGGTCTGAACTTTCATCTCATGTGGGAGTGGGGATGGGCTGCACTTTGTACTGATTCTGAAAGCACAGTAAAAGACAACCTGCCAACAAATCTGGAAGAATCAGCGACAATAGGAGTGTGCCCAAAATGAGCTCTTTATTTGCACAGATACTACTTTCTCCTGCACATTCTGATTCAGATGTTAGGCTGTAACACATTTAATAAAACACAGTTAAATTGTTTACCTCAAACTTCTCTTCTCTTACTTGAATGTAGCACACAAATCTATCACTATTCTATTGAAGTGATGCATCCCCTGCTGTCCTGAAGCAGTGTTTCATTACTGTCCTTTATACCTTCTTCTCTAAGAGTACAGGCCCCGTAATTCCCCTCATAAAGCATATTATATAAATGTCTCTGCACTGTATGAGCAAAAGGGCCCTGGAGCTGCAAGATTAGCTGTGGAGGAGTTGGGGAGACCTCCTCCTCCTCCTCCAGCCAGCTGCCTTAAGAGGGATGAGCCAGACCCACTGTCCAATGGCAGACAACCTGGCGTCAAGAAGACTCACTGTTGTTGAGGCGGTGTGGGCCAACCCCCTGCTGTGCATTGAATTAATGCACCATCGGGTTTCCAATTGTACTTGTCTCAGTTTTTTCTTTTGCTATGTCAGTTTTGCATTGCATTTTGTTCTTACCGTACTGATTCACACCACCTGGAGGTTTAATCCATAGCCGACTGCAACAAGTTCAAACTGTTCTCAAGAGGTTGATTAAAGGAATTGTAGAAAACGGCAGGAAATCACTATATAGATCCATGTCCTTAACTATATGTCTTTAGCAGTTTAAGAGTAACAGCGGGAATCTTTTCTTGTAGGTAAGATACAGACGGTGTCTACGCCACTGTATATTACAGCTTGGGAAGGTAACATTGAAGAAGCTAAAAACAGTAAAATAGATTTTTTTTTAATTATTCAAATCGGAAAACCCAGCGCCCTGTTGCTCACTTGCTAACCCTTTTTTTTTTTTAAATGAAAGTAGTTAGCAGTACTATTTCCATAAGGCGCTTAATCTTGCGAGAAATTCACCAAGTTGGCACCACTGAGTGCCCGTCTCTTTACGCCCTCTAACGCCACTCCCCAAAAATAACCATAATGAATGCAAACAGTGACCATGGCTACTGTAAGTACCAGTTAGGACACAGGCAGGTCAACCCTCTTACATATGACTGCAGTGATACCAGGTTTTTGTCTTTTTTTTTCAACAAAAATTGTCAAAGTTATGGATTTATTTATTGCTGTCTGCATGTTAAGAGTATTTCAACAAATTATAACAAAAAGTGTTTCTAAAATATATGATCAAACTTAGCTTTAAAGGCATGTTATACATGTTGATTACTCACATTATCCAAATGTATTTAATCATTTTCAAACCCAGTGAATTCTGTAATTTTAATCGAGGTTAAAAGTACTTTTCTGTGTTGTTGTTTTTGTCACCCTTTTATCCAGTATTAAGCCACATTTTTACAATACAATAGTTAAGTGTGTAAATATTTGAGTGTATAAGTTACTGTTTTTAACAGTATGACCTGGACCGTTTATTTTGGAAAAATAACCTGGTTAAACTTCCCGAACAACGGATGAATCCCAACTGGGATATCTTGACTTCAATGTCAAACTCCCATGATCCCACGCTCCCAATACCAGCAAACCCCGTCCTTTGTTATGGTTTTGATTAAGAGATCCCTCCCGGCAGAAAATAACATATTGTATAAATAACTGCCATACAATTTGAACCAACTTTGATTAACACAATATCATTTGTGTTTGAATCTTACCCACAGAAAGAATATTACACCCAGACGGTTTTAGTCCTTAGTTCTATTTGCAGGTGTAGCCTGTAGTTAGTGGTTCATTCACAGCAACAGGCCCTCTCATTGTGCTCCCTCCACACAGTCACCACGTCTCAGCGTAGTGGAATAGCTGACACATGAGTATTATCTCTCCCCACGCTGGGTACGCTGGGCTGGGCTGCACCGGGTGTAGGAATTGCCCCCGCGCTGCAGGCTGTGGAGAGATAACAGACGTAGTAATGAATTCCAGATTGCTGACGGGGCAGCGCGGCTGTGGAGTAGATCACCCCGACAACACCAGGCCCCAGCTCCCCATAAAATGTATGCCATCAAACACACAGCGAAGTGCCGTGGCAGCAAAACTCAGTCAACCTAGGAGAGGTAGCTACAGGGAAGAGTGATTCAAGTGCCTCTGCCCGTGTTTTTGTTTAGTAAGCTGGTTCACATAACTGGATCATCATGGCCATGTCCCCCCATGTCAGCGGCTGTTAAACTCCAATAATCTGTTAAAGAAAAATGGATGTTCAAGGTCAAATGGCCATTGACCTAGAATCAACGTTTTGTTATGTTGGCTTTATAGAGTGGTGCAGGACTGAGTCATTACACCTGGAAATTAGTTAGCATTTGAACACACTTGAATTCAACATTTTTTTTACGATTTTCGTGATATAGACTGTTTAGTACAAGCTGAAGCATTCAATAGAAATTGTTCTACAACATAAAATATATAAGTTAATAATGACAGCAGTTACTAACAAGGCACCATTGATACTACTTAACGCCAAGCAGTATCCACCTTTAGCCTATCGGTGGTGATGTGCAGCCATACAGTACGACTAATGTAGTTTGTTTTTAGGCTATTGTTAGCTTTCTAACTTTTGCGATTGCATTTGGTCATCAACAATTATAGTGGTATTACATTGTGGAGATAATCCTGCTGAACAAAACATGCAAGTTATCCCAAAGATCTTGTGTTTTTTGCTTAATAAACCAAAATCCAATGGGAAAAATCCCAATTATTTTTGTAGAGGGAGCCCTTGCGATGCTAACTTCCAGGTTGCTCTACAAAAATCTGTCATCCCCGCCCCACTCTATTGTTCTAGCTGACACAATACTTGGGGATGTTCTAATATTGTATATCATGTTGTGTATTTTGTGTTGTGTTGACCTACACATTTGGACTTCTGTCTCAGAGGCCACGGGCTGTTTTGCAGCAGCACCGGTGCTCGTACAATACTTTTCAACTCGGGGAGAGGCTGCCAAGTGCTTGTGAATGGCTTTTGTTCAGTTCTCTAGTGGACTGGCCCTCAAAGCCAGAGCCCTTTTTGTCCAGAGAAACTGTAGACCTAGTCCTCCCTCCCACATGATGTTGGAGTGACTCATAGTTCACTATCATAGACCTTGACAGTAACAAACACCACAGTTTGTCCGTACAGATAGCACGGCTGGTTTGTTTTTTCTTTTTAACTTGAAGCCTTTTTATTAACATGTTTGCCTTGTTGGTTAAACAAACCTGTTGCTTCTGTTGTGAGATCATTAGCTTATCTGTGAAAGTCAATCAATATGAAGTAGTTTACCTACCATGACTGTTGAGAACCTGCATGAAATGGGCTTTTGATATTTTTTTAAAACATGTTTTGCCAATTCCCTTTAAAGGGCTCTGTACTGCTTAAAGGATCTACGTGGGCTTTGTAAATGAAATCTGGCAAGACATGAATAAAACTCAAGCTTAGTTTTGGCAAGCAGTACACACATCTATAGATAAGAAAGATGAAAATATAATCCTGCCACTGCACCTTTTCTAAAGGTTTGCGAACATGAGTTATTGCTGCCATGCCTTAAGATAGAAATTCAAACCACACTGTGAAAGTACAAACACATGGAGAAATGTTCTTTTTGTACAGCTTCAGACTTTGAGGTTGATATACTTGTGTTAATATATCTTCCTTTCCTTAAGGTCCACATGTTAGTATGGATCAGCCGGCAGTGAAACAACAACGTGGTGCATTACTTTACGTTTTGGGTCATATTTGTTTCTGTTTTTCAGGACATAACAACTCACTTTGTGTAAAAGATGTGTAGGAGTTAGTCATTGGACAGTGATAACTTGTCTCTCATCAATCAACAGTGTCATGTTGGTGCTTTGCTCTCTCTCGTATCTAAAGCATAGATGTGTAACTATAAAGGACCCTTGTTATTATGAATGAATACATGTTCTGTATTCAAGTTGTGTATGTTTGTTTTCCAGTGCTGAGGCTGCCAGATCTCAGCTGAAGCAGTTCCCAGTTCTGCCCACCAGAGTGTTACAGGAGCACCCATCCCTCAATTACTGGTAAGTTATGGCGGTTGATATGTTTATTTGAACCAATATCACAGTCTTTTCTCCACAAGGTTCTAGGGTTACACAAAATGAGGAAACATATACAATTCGGCTACCATTACAGTACATTACATTTAGCTGCTCCAAAGCGACTTACAATAAGTGCAATAAACCATGAACAACAACAACAGAAATGCTATGCCGTACATTTTCTTAAAATAAGCCAAGTAAGTGCTTTGCATCAGTCTCAATTGACCTACATTCCCCTAACTTTGTTTAATAATGCGATTACATCATTTCTCGCAAAACAAGTATTCAGTTGTGTCCTACTTGTTCTAAAAGGTTCTAGTCACCTTAACATGAAGACACAATCATACAGATCCAAATGTATACAGAAACAGAAAAGGATAATAAGGGCAGGCGGTGACTCCACCTCCCCTTATCCCGCTACTCTTGCTGTTCTACAAAATGATATGGTTTTTCATAATCATAGACATTCATCTGGTCACACACATTTAAGCATAACAACTCATACAATCTCATTTGTTGCCATAACATGTCATCTTTGTAACCTAAATGGACCATGAGTCCTCTCCTAATCATCTTCCCATATGTCAAGGTGTGCAGATGAACGTAAATATTTGACATGAAGAATATGCTGCTTTTTAGTGTACTTCTAAAATACAACAAATTGCTTGTTGAAATAAAAAGATAAAGGAATGAATCTTCTACAGCAAAGACTGATATTAACATTTGAAAGTGCAATTACCACAACCTTAAGACAAGACTTGTGCCACGTCGTCTCTCCTGCCTCCTAAATATTGCACTGCCGAGGTGCTGTTTTATTATTTACACCTTTGATCAATTGTAAAGCCCCTACAAGATGCGCTTACAATTCTGCTGTCGACTCACCTCAGTGGTCAGGACCACCTGGTTGTAAAAAGGCGTTTATTTCCCCAGAAGAACCATTTTGGGTGTTACGGTGCCTACTAGACCATCCCGGTACTTGGCAGATGGTTTTCTCTCTGATGAGGTGACTAATTAATGCCCGGGTCGCGTTAATTACGTTTGCACATTAGCCCTGCGAGTGCTCGGGGAGGTGCTGACAGCCACTGGCTATCTAAAGGATTCCTATCTGTCTGTTCAATCCACACTGCTGTTGTTGACCCCCCCCCCCCCCCCCCCCCCCCCCCCTTCTGCTTACCGGTCATGTGAGGCTGCTGCAGGCTCAGTTTAATACACAAATTAAAATCACAGGCATTGGTGAGCACATGAAAACACCTCTCCGTTGTCTCTGTCTGTCCACTAAGCCTCAGGCGAGTTTTGCAGTCTCTCAATTCTATTAAAAGGGATGATTACAGTGGGAAGTAAATGGGATGCATTTTGCAGGAGAAGTTAGATGAGAGCTATCAGCTGGCAAGTAGGCCAGACTGCATTTACTGCATGAGCAGGCAGAATGTGTGTCAAAGAAAGAGCCCACTCACAATCCCTCTGTGTGCTGGAATGTGTAACACTCGATGGGTTTTTCATTAAGTGTTTCATCTTTCCATTTGCAGTGAGGACAAAGTGATTGAACATTACAAGAAGCTGAAGGGACTGACCAGAGGACAAGCCATTGTGCAGTAAGTTCAAAACTTATTTTATGACTAACTTGTGTTACACACTACTGCTCCTGATGTCCCCCCCCCCTCTTTAACCACTTGTGTCTGCAGTGTTGTGTCTGTTGTTGTGAGAGGTGGCTGACTGTCACCATGCCAGAATGTGCTATTAATTAGAGGGGCTCTTAAAGTGGGCAGCAGGCCAGCCTTGACTTGTTGTGTGTTTCCGCTGCTTCATACCTAAGCTGTATGATGTTATTTGGTTTGCTTTTGTTTTATTTGTTCTGAGCAACATTGACAGTTTTAATTGATAGGAGTGTAACCAAAAGCAATCAGTTAATCTTTATGAATTCTACAGGAGTCAACGGCATTTCCATTCTCTGTTGCTTTTCCCATCCATCCAGAGATGAACTTCATTTTCTCCTCTAATAGATCAGTACATGTTCTTGTGAACAAGCAGAGTAGCAGTGTTTGATTACAATCAGCCTTTCCGCCAGGGGGGCGTCTTGCCGTCATTTGACGCCCTGAACTCGAGCCGAGGCCGTCCTAAAAAAAATAATAATTTGAGAGAAGATCGAGTTTTTATTGCTTGAAATGACGAAAAGGAAAAAGGACAAGGACATCCCTCTGTTGGAGGGGCAAAGGAGTCTGGTGGGATTCTTTTCGCCGCCAGCAAAGCGTGTTCCTGTGACGGAAAGTGTACTGCCTGCGAGCCTTGACGGAGGGGTGCTAGTGGAGCACGCGCGTGAACTGCGAGCGCCGGAGCCGCGCAGCGGCGAAACTGAGGCTCCGTGGTAAACTGTGGTAACATGAAGAGCCGTTTAGGAGCCGAAAGAGCCGGCTCTTCTTAGTGAGCCGAGCCAAATGATCCGGCTCACTAAAAAGAGCCGGAATTCCCATCACTAATACGTAAAGAGATAGTATCTATAAGGGACGGCTCAATTCAAAATTCAAGTCACGTGACACGATGTGAAGGCCCCCAAACCCCCGCTCTCGGGGTGGACGCCCTCTCAGCCCTAGTCTGGCGGAAACACTGATTACAATTCAAACCGGATTTCATTTGAGTTAAGAAGGTATTATTCAAAATGTGTTATATCTTTTTCTCATCAAGATGTTCCTCTTGGTCAGTTACTTTGTAAACAAAAACAAGTATAAGGAAATCTTAAAGGGGACCTATCATGCAAAATGCACTTTTGTACGTCTTTTATACATGAATACGTGTCCCCGGTGTTCCAGGGAACTCGCCAAGTGTCAGAAAACACAACCCTCTCTATTTTCCTCCATACCCAAATCTCTAAAAAAGGGGCTGCAACGGATCTGATAAAAACTGATCCAGATTTGAACACTGTCCTGACGTCAGGACGGTGACGCCAAGGCTATTGGGCCAACTCTCCACCTATCAGGGGAATTTGGGGTTGGGCCACGGCCGGCCATTGCCGCTCGAAAGCGCTGGAGACGCTGTAGTACATATGCCAGGCCTGTAAGTGGCGCTGTAGTCTGCCACAAAAGCAGCGAAGAAGACTTCCCGCCCATAGTTACCATGGTTACCCTTCTGTTTATTCTCCGCTGTGGATTTCTTTCTCCCTCCCCGAGGCAAGCGTTTGCTCCCGCTGCTTTAATTCAATGCAATCCCTCCCCGTCGAGGCAAGCACTGTAATTCTCTCCGGTTAGTCCACCAGCAGATGACAAACACCCACCTCTCCGCCTCTTCCAAGGAACGAGGGGACCGTGCGGCAGAGTTTCAGTTTGTTTAGCCGGTCTAGATGTCCGTTAAAGTTTAAATCTTCTGGACAAAATTAGAAAAGTGCCGGTCAAAGGTCTTCTTTGTTATTTATTGAGCTTTAAAACAAATGAATAACGACTCTATATAATAAAACACGGAGATCTCTTTTTCTCCCCCTCTTCTGACAGCCCAGCAGCTGATCAGAGCACGTCTCCCCTCTCCTGCAGGGGGGCGTGGTCAGCAGAATCAGCCCCGTAGACAGCAAACAGCACATAGAGCGAAATGAGGCATGGCTAAAATGCATGATCTGTTTGGTATTTTGAAAACAGAAACGTATAAATATACCTTATATAGGTATGGCCCTACAATATATCATTTAAATATAGCATGATAGGTCCACTTTAAGTAAAGAGGAAACAATGAATGATGGTTTTCATTTTGTACAACCGTGTCATTTGCATGTGCCGTCCTCATTTCTACTGTTAATTGCAAAAAGAAAACTTTTAAAGAAGTCAAACACTTCAGCCCTCCAACTGTGTTTTTTCCCAGGACTGTAACTCAGAGCAACCCCTGGGTCATTTACGCTCGGATGATTTGTGCCCTTGAACTGATCAATGGACTCTGTCACGGCCCTGAAACAAATCGATCGGCCTGCCACTGCAAATGGCCGTGGCTTCTCAATGACTGTAGCTTAAATCGCACTCCGTCTGCGGAACCACAGCCACCGGTGGACAGTGATGAAGTGTACATGGGAGGGGTTTCCCGTTAACCTGTTCCTCTTTCTGTGAAGGTATCTGGCGCTGGTGGAGTCCCTGCCAACATACGGAGTCCATTACTACCAAGTGAAGGTAACAGTGCTGCCCCCAGTCATAAAGTAGCTTAACCTCTTGAACAAGCTTCTGTCAACATGCTGGCTTCATTTGTTCTCTGCATTTCATCTTGATTTATTAGGGCTGCACAATTAATCAATTGTTTTCATTATATGGACTATTGCAATAGCCAAATTGCTGCAACCTCAGTATTTGGTAAAGGCTAAATATGTGAAAAGTGTGGCCTGGCTTACAAACAGTATTCTACAGACTGATACAAAAAATAACACTATGATCAATTCTATATATGTTTCCATGATGATGTGAATAATGCTTCAAAAATGATCATTTCATCCAATAACGCAAATTTGCAATGTCACTCAAAATAATCGTAATTAGATTCTTTAACCAAATCGACAGCCCTATAACACATACATTTACCCTTTATTCAGTGAAAGCAGCTACACATGCATGAAAGACTCCACATAATTACATTAAGTTTAGCTATAACTCACTTTTACATGCATCCACTCACTTTCCCAACCAAACCTCGTTAGATCAAGGCGTCTGGGGAGATCAGACGGTGGCGTTAAAAAAAACACTCAGTCAGGCTTGCAGGGGCTTTTTAAGGCCTTGGATGTATTTGATCTCCTCTTGTGTTGCTGTTGCTGTGAACCTAATGGGGTAATTGCTTTGGTAACAGCCCTTTTTTCAAACCCCCTCACCAATAAAGCTACCTCCTAATGAGTGGTGTGTGTGCATGTGCTTTCTTGCAGGACAAGCAAGGATTACCGTGGTGGCTGGGAGTCGGCTACAAAGGCATCGGACAGTACGACCTGCAGGATAAACTCAAGCCAAGAAAGGTAGGAGCATCTCTTTTTTTACATCTGTTGTATTTGCATTAACTGTCTTTTCTTTCTTTGTTTTATATGTTTGTGTAGAGCTGTATTTTTTATTAGCTTTTTTAAAATCTTTTTTTGGTTTGTAATGAACCAAAAACATAATATTTCAAACCTATTTGCTTTAAACTTCTCTTGGAAGTATGGACACTTAAGCATGACTGTGACTGTACTTGAATGGCTGGTTGAAAACAGAGCTTTCATCTCCTCTTGTTAGCTGGTTAATGATCCACACACACTGTAAATAAGTGTAATTAAGACCCTGGTTCCCATGTCAGTCAGTCAGGAGAAAGAGGAAGACAGATGGGGAAAACATTTTGGAGTATCAGTACGTGCTGCTCACAGTCAAGGCTGTAGGTGTAAGAGCAAACACAGAACAACTAGTAACAGTGGAGTGAATTGTCAAAGGGATATAAATCGACTCACCGTGCAAAGTTTAAAGGGGAAAATGTGTAAATAGCAACACACTCTGGATTAAATAGCATACAAGGGTCCTTTTTTGGTTATAAAAGCATTACATCATATATAGAAGTGTCTTTTATTGAATATAAAAGCATAATAGCCTACAAGTTCCCTTTTTGATTATAAAAGCTTATCATTGGCTAGTGTTGCAAGTAAATTAAAACCCCTTCTTGCAAGTTATTTTGTATAGGCCACCTCTCCCATTTATTACTGAAGAGATACAATAATTAAGTGTAAAAAATGGTTCACTTTTAACAATTAGCATGACTTTCCCTTTTGACATTAATTCAGGAATCAATAATTAAAAATAAATCACACAACTGTTCTAACTGTATGCCTGGTTGGTTGATGCCTACTTATGGTGTAAATGAAATACTTTCAGTACAGAAATGTCCTGCTCCTGTACTGTAATGTTTGAGTTAGCACTTGTCGTGTCTGTGTTTACCCCCTCCCTTTGTTTGAGATGCGTTATGTGATAGTGTCCCAACCAAGCGTTTCTCCCCGACCTCTTTCATTACACGGAGCTGTTGTTGTACGGCAGGAACGTGTTGACATAGCAGGGTGTGCTGTTACTCCGAGGCATTAACGGGCACAGCCACAGTATGTCTCTCCAGACCCTCCCTGTGGAAGGTGTAATTATGGTTTCTCTGGGGGGGAAGCAGCATGCCCCTGGGACTCGGGCTGGCACTCTGCCATGCTGGTGGGTGGGCATTTGGAGGGTGTTGGGGTGCTAAAAGCATTTCAAACTAGTCTCTGACCCCTCCAACTTCCTCACATTAAGAGGGGACAGTCATAGAGATGAGTTTGCTGTTTTGGAGCAAACTTTTTGCCTTTTTTTAAATGAGTTTTTTTGTTGGTTGCTCTTTTGATTTATAGAAATGTATAGCTACTCTACTTTTGCCTTTAGGGAGTCCTCTGTATTTAATGTTGATGGGGCTTCCTGCCTCAGTTCACAGCCCCTTTATTCACCCCGGCCCATCCCTCCCTGCCCTCTGCCCAGCCCCTCTCAGCAGGCTGTATTCTTTATGCTAATCCATGTGTGTGTCTCGGAGGGAATACAATTGATCAAACAATACAGAACAATTATCTGCTTAGGGGGCTGGGGGCTGGATTTAGAGCTGGTCCCGGGGAGAGCTCAGTACTTGTGTAGTTATAGAAAAGTACTTCAAGTGATGTTAAGTTTTGTCAAAATGATTGAAAGCCACTCGAATAGCTTAACCTCCCAGTATCTTCTCTGCACGCATGCCAGTGCCATCAGTCTTTATTGAACATAGAGCTGCACGATTTGAAACTGGGGTGATTTGAAAGAAGATCTGCCCCACTGTAAGGTCAGTAGAATATCATTTGTGAGCTAGGACATTTCTGCAGTTCTTGCTATTTGAAAACAGAGTTTGCCTTAACCATATATTGTGCTTTCTAGGATTGGGATAATATACTAATCCATACTGAGATTTTGATCATATTTTAATATCATGTTTGCAGCCCTTCTAAGTATGTGTAGATGTAAGTAAGCACTGTCTACTCTACTGTACAAGGCGTAGCTTGTGTCTTCCAAAATAGGACAAAGAATGCACAAAAGATGCCAAACGGTATGTCACGTAGGTGGAGGAAACATTCATTTGATGTGATGAACACAACAGTGCTTCAATGTCTCCAGGACACACTGTGGGAATGAAACAGATGGCCAGTCAAGACTCAATTCTCCCTGAATTAAAGCCGGAGACTTTTCTGTCTCTCCTCCTCTCTGGGTGACACTCTCCCAGTGGGTAATGGGACACTCTCCAAGACCACATGCTGGTCCTCGCACATGATCAGCCAGCAGAACCAAAATAAATCTTCAGTGTATTATGAGGGACAGCCTCTGGGTAATAATGACATGGGACCTAAAGAGCTGAAATAAAAATCCTCATCTTATCCTGAAAAAGTAGGACAAATATTCTTCCGCTCTCTTTTCCCAACCTAAATCAACGTGTTGTGCAACGTACAGTGTTGCGGGAATGTGACGTGTTACATAGAGGGTGTGGCAGATCTTTTTCTGTATGAGCGCGTGAGTCAGAGCCTTTGACATATTTATCCGTGTATGATTTTGCGGACTCGTGGCCCTGGGGTTCCTCGGATAGTGGGTGTGAGGCTGGATCTGAACAGCCTGATCCCATCGGAAACCACAGGCATGTCTGGCTCTCTGCCAACTGCCGCAAATGAAATGTTTGGCAAAAACAAAGGGAGATGAAATATTAAAGATAGGAGATACAGACATTCTGTGTAATTACTCAAATCACGAGCGTGCTAGTGAGCTGGCGTTATCCTGCTTTAGGAACGTTTTGTTGCTTTTGTTTTCTCTACCTATGACTTGTACTGATGAGTCACTTTTTTTTACGTAGTCCAACTTTCTTGGAGCGTTTCCACTTTAAAAACCTACTTTCAGGTTGACAACCCCATTAAATCAGTATGTAAGAATATTACTTGGTTACTTCATTTTGGAGAAAAATGAAATACATCGACTGTGCACTACGGTTGTGTTTTTTTATACGAGTTATATAGTATGAAATGTTACTGCACGCTTACACATGTTTTTTAAGCTTCATTAAAGTGTCAACTGTACTGTGATAAAACACATTTAAGCTGGTGTTAATAAACAGATACTTTTTTTTTAATTAAATCGCCATTTCATGGGTTGAAAATGGCTCAACAAATCAGCCCTGAACCTCCCAAGGCCAATTCTGAGATAGACACCAGATGATATTTATATTCAAAGTTAAGTTTTTATAATAAAAAAAGTGTTATTCACCACGTATTATCTAAATCACACATTCATGCCAACCCAACCCCCCCCTCCAGCCCCTTGCCCACAAGAGAAATGATGCAGTAGGTGGAGTTACCCTCAGACCTGTGGGTACATTTGCAATTAAACTCCAATAAAAAAGGTTCCTAAAGCAAGTGTTGACCCTAAACTGGTAATAAATGGTGGTTCATACACAGATGAAGGTCACAGCTATGAGCCCTCAAAGCATCCAAGAGAGCAGGAACTAAGAGAGTAAAATATACGACCTGTGACAGTAGAGATAAAGGTGTGTCACGTCCCTTTTAAATATTTTGGCAATGGCTTCAGCCGCAGTGTTTTAGTTTCATCTTGTTACTGGCACACTGGTGTGGAGTATCTCTAATGGGGGGAATGATCCTGTGTGTGTTCATTGTCTAGAGTCCTTTGTTTCAGATCGGTTGTTATGATGCGAATGATGGTGACTAGAGAGTGTGAATTGGTGTGAGGAGCTCTCATCTGCAGTGATAAGAGCTTTTTGGAAGTTTCATGCAAGGCGGTACCCATGCTTCTTTTTGCATGTAAGAGCCCACCATAATAAAGACAAGAAATCAAACGATCGCTATAGAATGGGGTTCATGCAGAGAAGGGTTACACACATGAGGAATTAGCTTCTTTTCTATTTAAATAGTGCATACATAGACACACAAAGGTCTTTTTACTAATTACAGTAAAAATATGACAAATACTATAATGGATAATAGCAGTATAAGTCAGAAGTAAAACTACATCATCCAGTGTTTCCCATACATTGATTTATTGGTGGCGGGTCTAATGGATAGTGAGGTGGGTTGATGATCGGAAGGTTGCAAGTTCAAATCCCGCCTGGAACACCACTACTAGTGTGCCCTTGAGTAAGGCACTTAGCCCTCAGTTACTCCAGGGAGAATGTCCCTGTCATTGTAAGTCGCTTTGGAATAAGGCGTCTGCTAAATGCCTAAATTGTCAATTATATTTTTGGGAGAATAAACCCCACAGATCCTCAACTCCGGTGTGTCTCACTCATTAACAACACAACACAGAGCAACAAGAACGTTGTCTACAGTAGCCATGAACTTGCATGTGTTTTCTTATTTGAGGGGGGGGGTGGATGCGTGGGCCACCCAAATAGGTTAATACACGTACTGCTTTCGCATATCACACATACAATAAGGCTTTTTTTGCTTATACTGCCTGTAAATATATGAGTTTGTATTTGGAGCAAAGTGCATGTATTGGCAGTTGAGTGCTCCCTCGCCCCTGGTATTAATGATTAGACCATAGTAACAGATTCCTAACATGTTTGCCCTGCTGGGGGACATGGTAGTAGTTCATTCAGCCCCACAGCTGTGCTTTGTGTGCCACTTACAATATGAAAAGCAAGGAACTTCCTATATGGAAGTGAGAGCATTCAAAGTCTGTGGAAGATTGATCGCTTATCTGCATGTGACGGGAAGTGGAGCAGAGAAATCTTCTAAAAACCTGGGCTGGCAAAAGCTTGTGAACAACCTGCTCATCTGGTCTGACTCAAAGGGAAGTGGGCTGTGTTTGGAGAGGGACAGAGCAAGAGAGAGAGCGAGCAGTGCCTGAGGTATCTGTGATGTTTCTGTGATGTCAGAGGAGGGGGGGTGGTTAAAGGGGCGCGGCCTGCTCAGCTGAAACTCTTGCAACACCTATCTGGCTCCCTGAGAACAGACAAGAGAGAGTATTGTTCGAGGAAGCACTAGCCCTGTGGGAAACTCTAAAGATTAAATACAAACCTGAGGGAATTCAGCAGGGATTTAAAAACAAAAAAACCACGGTAAGCCTTTCTATTGTGTCCAACTACTAGCTGTTTGAAATAGTCAAGGGGTTTGAATGTGTTTATTCTCCTTGTGCTCCTTTTAACGTTCTCCTAAATGTGTTGAACCTGCTCTACAGGCAGCCTGTCACTGTGTGAGCCACACTGCTGGGAAGTGTAATGTGTTACAGTTAGTGCCAAGTTTAAATATGCTTTGAAAATATGTTCTCTCTGCTTATCGTCATTTCTTACCCCAGGCACAGTTTACCTCCTGGGTACGATTTTATATATTGAGTTTTTGTTTGGAGTAATTTAAGTTCTTACCTTTTTAGAATGGAGTACGGTGAAACAAACATTTTCTCCTACATTAACCTCACGTCCCACTGTTGTGTCTCTTCTTGTTACCTACATTTGAGCAGTGAAGAGTTGTTTACTGGCTCAGAATGAGTTTATTGAACACACTATCAGTGGAGCAGATGTTTCATCCTGACACACAGAAGCCCTTCCTCTGTTTCCCTCCACAGCAGAAGGAAATGAGAAACTAGTATAGCTTGCTGCCTGGCTCAGTTTGACTCCCTGCATTATATTAGCTTCTGTGTTTGACTACCTTACACAGGACCGGCTGGCCCGCTGAGCCCCATTCACTGCTTTAGTTGTTTCTTCTAATGTTGCAAGTTAAGCAGAAAAATTGTGCTAAACGGCGTGCTGCTGTGGCTGAAGCAAAACCAGTGGTTTCAAGATGTATACCACTCATTTGGGAAGCCTTTCTGATTACATTGTTGCGTTTTACAGCCAAGTTATACCTCTGTTAATGTCGAGCAAAGCCTCATTTTAATCAATAGCCCTGTGTTGTGTATACTCACGGATCTGTAATGTCTCCCTCCCCTCCCCCCCTTTTATTCCCAACTGTCTCTCTGCAGTTGTATCAGTGGAAGCAGTTAGAGAATCTGTATTTCCGCGAGAAGAAATTTGCTGTGGAAGTGAACGACCCGCACAGGTCAGAGAAAGGTTTCATTTATCTTAACTGATCTTAGTAAGTCCTTTCCCCCTGTTTGTCTGAAGTGCTCCAATTTGAGCTAGCTTCAGATGTCCTTATCTTACACCTTACACACTGAAGGGCATCCACAGCCAGCGGGCCATTCAGGACACCGTGTTAATGGCTGTAGCTGCTCTGTTAAATGCTGTTGTTTAAAGGCCGCTTTATTATTCTAATGCTGTTGTAAGACCTCTGCCCTTCACACAGACTTCCATGTGGCTCTCTCAGCCGCCAGAGCTGTTATTAAATCCCACTGTCTGCTCTTCAGTTAATTATTACAGAAACAGCCTCACATTTAATTAGACAAACTGTGTTATCTTTGCTGAACCCATCTTAATTAAAGACTTGTTTATCAACCAGTGTTTGCAGCTGTTTTGTGTCTCAGAGCAGCACTGAATGTTTGTGTCATGTTGTTGCTATCTTTCTCAGAAGGACAGTGACCAAGCGAACGTTCGGACAGACCGGTCTGGTTATTCACACATGGTATGCCAGCCACTCTCTGATTAAAACCATCTGGGTGATGGCCATCAGTCAGCACCAGTTCTACCTGGACAGAAAGCAAAGCAAAGTGAGTGTCTGTTGTTTCCTCCTCACACTTTCACTCACCATAGTTCCTGCTGACTCAGATATAGTTTGAAATCTAATAATACCTTCTAATACTCATCCTGTGTAGACATCTTACCTTGTAACGTATAAAGTGACTCACATTGGTGACAGACCAGGTACATGCGTCTGTGTGTTAATCATATTTTAAATTACAATCAGAATACTTCTTATCCCGCGGCGAACATTTCGTTTTCTGACAGTTGCTCCATTTTGGAATAAAAAAATATATATATTTGAACATGCGGAGTAAGTAGGAAGTCAAAGTAAAATGTCCAATATTAAAAGCTGTTGTATTAACATAGGAAGATTAGATACAAATGTGCACATTATACAACATGTACATTACAATTTACATAACATGTTTTAAGGAGGTCACGCATTGATGCTGAGAGTGTATTGATTGGCTGATATACACAGTGTGCTTGTGTTCCTCTCTGTATAGTTTATAAGTAATGACACTATCATGAACTTCATTTAGAGTGATTCCATTTATTATGATGTACCTATGAGCTATATTGCTGACCTGTTTTTCACACCGATTGAAACACACTCATCACCTCATTCTCTCAGTGTGAATATGGACTGATTGAAGCTCATGAGGTTATTGTGAAAGTGTGGCAGCGTGGTGTGCTGGTGACTGTTCATCATGTGATCTACTGCCTGATCCGGGTCCTATGCTTGTGACTTGTGTCAACAGCGTGATGATGGGAAGTGACAGGCCACCAGTTTAATGTAAATAGATCCTGTGTTACTAAGGGTTATGTTGGAAACTGTTGCTTCATTGGTTTAACGTGAATAGAATCACTGTTATTTATTGAGCTTGTGGTTGGTAGATGAAATGATTGGTAGATTAAGTTGAGAGCTTCTAACTCCTCTGAGTAATAAATACTTTGATCACTATGCTAATAGAACAGGGAGAATAATATAGTTGAACTTGGTGTGCCTATTGTTGTTAAAGGTGGGGTAGGTAATTCACTTCAGAAACACTTTTTGTTATATTCCATGGAATGCTCTTAACATCCCGATAGCAATGAATACATTAAATGCTTTGACAATAAATACATAATAAAATGTCATCTGTGGAAGCCGTGGCGCTGTAAAAAGCACGACCAATCATCTGAGCCGGCCCGGCTAAAGTAACTGGATGGCCTACCTGCCTGTCAGCCTTCCATCTGTGCACAAACTTATCTCGTGCCCTCATTGGTCATGTGCGCGTTCGTGTGTGTTGGAGGAGGGAAGTCTGAAGGAAGAGGCAGATTTTTTTCGGCTGCGTACTTTCAAATTCTAGCGCACTCGAGCTGGTTTCTCCATTCTTACCTACCCTACCTTTAATATTGTTTTTTTAATATGTGATTCATGATCACATTATTGCTTAAAAATTACAATTTTCATTGAAAAATCATAGTGTGATTTATTTAGTTAATATACTTTTGGTTTGACATTGTTGTCGTTTTGTTATATATCTCTTTTCTTTATTAATACTGCGGCTTCTCGATTTGGATATTGCACTAATCTATATCTGCAATTTTAATAGAATTCCAATCAATTGTTCATCCCCTATTATTACGCCTTGTATGTAGCCTAAGAGAAATCATATAAGGCTCAAAGCAAAATACAATTCTCTAAAGAAACAACATACTATTTTTTAAAAGCCCGACCATTAATAATACATAATAAAGCCCACAGTTTGTCCACAGCCTAGATCCCTGTCCGAGTGTTAAGAGCTGGCTGAAGATGCTGGTGGTCCATGTGTTTGTGTTTATGATGCATATTTGCTGAGCAGCGGGGCTATTATACAGTATGAGCGCTGTGTGATGTGCTCTCCCTGCTGGAGATGGATGAGTGTGCTGCCGCAGTCAAATGAGGTTATTCAGCCACTGTGTCTCTCGAAGGCAGATGGTGTGTCATCCAGGAATAGAGCCCACACTGATTGATGAGAGAGCAACGGGCTTTGAGTACCCAGCATGCAAATGGAGCAGCCCGCTTTTTGCAGCGTACTATCATTAAAATGAAGTACTCCCAATCCCTCCCTCGCTGCTGCTGCTGCTGCTCCACATCCCTCTTCCCTCCTGCTAACTGTCCCTCCTCTTCCCCTACAGTCACAGATGACCACAACCCGGAGTTCAGGAGACATCGCCATGGACCTCACGGAGATCTGCGCCCCGCGGATCATCAAACTCTCCAGCTTAGAGAACCAGCTCATTATGGCCAGCAACGGGAGCCTCATCTCAGCCGGTAAGCAGAACCTGCTAATGGCGTCTGTTACATCATCAGGATAATAATGATGAGTGATGATTGATTGCTATAATTTCTAGTTAATGAGACGGTTGCTTGTTCCAGGTTCTGCTGACTCTGAAGTCACAGATGAACAGAAGAAAGACAAGGTTGTCGATTTGAAAAATAAAGCGAAGAACCTCCAAGACACGCTGAAACAGAAACTTGAGGAACTGAAGAAGATCTGCTTGAGAGAAGCAGTGAGTGTCTCTCTTATTATTATTATACACATATACCCACAACAAACATTACAGCACCTCCCGAAAATATCAACTCAGCTGACTGTTGAATATTGTTTCTAATCTGCAGGAGTTAACAGGCAAGTTGCCCAAAGAGTATCCCTTGGCAACAGGCGAGAAGGCTCCTCCCGTACGACGCCGCGTCGGGACAGAGTTCAAGCTTGATGACCTTTTCCCCTACGATGAGGTTGGTGTTGTTTCGTTGTGATGTATCACTGTTATATAAAGTCACTCTTTGTGGAAACACAGGGTGTTTCTCAATCGCGAGTACGCTTGCTTGGTAGCACATGTCTGCCGAGCATCTTGCTTCAGAAGCGAGGCAAGAATACTTCCTGCCATTCGGAAAACAAAGCGTGGAACAGGCTAGCAAGTGTGCAGGTGTGCATCATATGAGAGGCCCCGCCTTACATCTTCCGCCACAGATTTGGGGAAATTGGTCCGTGCGCAAAGCATTGTGGGGATTTTAAGGCCGCGAAGTCTACTCATGTGCACACTCGATATTTCTCCAAACGGAGTACGCCGGACTCGGTAGATTTCCAAGTATACTGGAGATTGGAACAGTACTTCGGCGGCACTCGATGACGTAGTATGCTTGAAATAGTGGCTCGGAAGCAGCTTTACTCGCGATTGAGAAACACCCACAGTGTTGGTTTACCTAGAGATCATGTGACTTGCTCAGGGTGTCCGCGGGGTCTTAAAAAGTATTAAAAGTTGATAAATCAATTTAGCGAAAATTAAGGCTATTAAAAAGTATTAAACGGCATTTTCCAAGGTATTACATTGTGTAGCTTTTCAATAAGTATATAAATTGTCCAAAGAGGTATTCTACAGTGTGCCTGAATGTAATCATTGCGTAGGTGTGTAGTGTGATTCTTTGTAGTTTATTTATGGCATCCCGTTGGATTTGACGTCATCTGAACAGGACATTGCACGCTCACTGCTTGATAGCGCGCAAAGGTCCGTTTACGCCGGTTGTTAAACAACATCGTTATGGGGAAATGCAAGTTTGCGTCCAAATGGTTGGAAGATAAGGAGGAAGGGCAATCAATACTGTATATAGTAAATGTGAGGTAAAGTGTGTCGACAATGTAACCGGTTAAAACTCAAAGCGGCGATGAGGTCTTAACATGTATGGAAAGGGTCTTAAAAGGTCTTAAAGGGTCTTAAAAGGTCTTACGGAGCGTCCACACAGCAGCGTTAAAAAAATCTTGGAGGTGGGCGTATCTGAAGCTTGGGGATTTTTTGCGAGCAAGGCACCAACAACCAATCACATGAATCTCCCGCCCCCGACATACGAAGCAAAAAAGCCCGAAGTAAACTGGATATAAACTCCCCAAACAGGCGAAAACCTACCACTGTCTCTGCCACCTCCCTCCATGCCTGGCTCCTCCGGTTTGTATCCCGGTAGGTAAATAGGGACTGGTCATAAAGCACCGGGTGATTCCCTACCGCTAATTTCTCCTCCATTTTTTGGAATATGAGGAAATGACCTGCGGTATGTCTCTCCCAGCATACACGCGGTTTGATTGGCTAGCGCTTGAACTGTCAGATTTGCATAAACGGGATTTGATTGGCTGACGCTTCCACCTCAGCTTCAAAAGTTGAACATTGCTCAACTTTTGAATCCTGAAAATCTCCGCTCTGCTTCCCACAATGCAGTTCGGCGAAAAGTGAGGCAAAGTGACGTCACCCCATTCAAAGTGAATGGGCAGAAGCGTTGGAAGATTTTTTTAACGCTGCTGTGTGGATGGGCCGTTACATTTGACTTCAGGATTCCTGCATATACCCTGTTGTTGAAATAAGGCTTAAGATATTACCTTTTTAATTTGAGGCTTAGATGAACTAATGTTTGCATGAAACATGTTGTGAGGTGTAGCTGGTTTCCATCTGTCATTTGGTGAAAGGAATATGAACAAGAATATGTCAACACATTGAAAATGGAGATGTTGGAAGTCTGTTTGCTACCGTTGACAGGGTCTGTTTTCATATTTCGGGAAATTCCCCATCTCACCGTATGTTTGTTGTGTGTTTCTCCCCGCAGGACCCACATCTGAGGAATTTGGAGAGCAGGTTCGCCCTGCAGCAGAAGATCGTGGAAGCAGCCATCAAGCTGTCCAACGAGGGCGAGCTCGGGAAGACGGTGAAGAAAAAGAGAAGAAGCAACTGCCTGGACGCCATGAGGAAGCTGGAGGAGATCGAGAAGGAGATCAACGCCTACCGGGTCAGGAAGGGGAGGAAACCCACCCAGAGGGCCTCTCTGATCATAGCAGGTACGTTAACAACAGCAGAGGGAACAAATCTAATCTATGTTTTGGTTTTCAAAGATTCTCTGAGGACTGTTTTTTTACTCTTTATCCTTTTTTCTCATCTATTGTCAAAGATAGGACCGTTATTCAAATTGTCATAGTGATTTTTTCCATTACATATATTTTATTGACCAGGTTGTATTATTCTGAATGTATTAAGTAATCGTCTGTTTAATACTAACTACTCTCGTTATGTGGAATAAGTAATAATCCCTTTTCTCTCTTGTGTTACCAGACGACGTGAACCCTTCAGACCTCAGCTCTCTATCGGACAGCCTCACTCTGGATGATGGTGAGTGCTGAGCCATAGCCAGTGTGCATGTGTTCACTCACTCCCACCCTCCCCCCTACCCACTGCATTTCATATCCATTTTAACCAAGCAATCACTTTTTATCCCCCAGATGATGAGCTCAGTTCCCAGAGGCAGCGCTCCAGATCGGTTCAGTATTCCCCGAGACCGCACCACGCAGACACGCTGGACATCCACTACAACAACGACAGAAGGCTCTCTGACCAGCAACCAGACAGCAGGTACACAGATACCTCTGACACCCGTGAAATATATTAAAGGTCACCTATCATGCTATTTTAACCCTTAGATGCATGAGTGACTGCACCCTACACAGTTCCACAAGTGGGTCAAAAAGGACCCGTATTAGAATATTATGTGTTTTTATGCCATTTTTGTCATTTTGGTTAAGTAAAATCACTTGTATAATATTTAGTATTATATTTTGGTTCACACTAGAAATATTTTATATTTAATTTGTAACTATTTAGAATTTTTGAATTTTTTTTGACATTTTGAAAAAAAACGTTTTGAACATATTGATGCAAAGATTTCCACTATTCTGAGACCCTCACAGTATTCCAGTCCCTTTTCAAAACTCATCTCTTCTCCTCTCATCATAGCCCACCCCCCATCAATCCATGCCGGTTGATCAAGTTTGATAGTCCTATACCCCCCACCCTAACCTTTCCTTATATTGTAAAGCGATTTTGAGTCCTTGAAAAGCCCTATAAAAATATAATGTATTATTATACTGACAGGTATCAGATCTTGCTGTGTAAAATAATCTTCCTGAGAGGTGTCACTTGTGATGTAGTCTGTGTGGTCTACAGTGAATGTATTCCTGACAGCCACAGGTGATAAGAATCAAAGGTTCCCAGAGGATTCCATAGAAAATGCATGCGGGTCATTTTTGACCCACTTATGGAAGCTTGGGGTAGTAATACAAAAACTACAATTTCATAAAATGTATCAAATGTAAATTTAAAATTTGAATGTCATGATATCCAAAACATGTTTTTTGAGGAATAGCTGGAATATGAAATGATACAAAAATGTAATTACAAAGATACTTCAAGAAAACCACCTCACCGGGTCAAAAAAGACCCACTTATGCATCTAAGGGTTAAGGCAATAGCAAAGGTCTCAGATATATACAAATATATAAAAAACATGTCTATGAAGTGATTTGCTCAAAATACCAAAAGATCACCCATTCTAGCCTCATATCCCTCCGTTTCAGCAATTCTGGATCAGCTCCGTTTTTAGAGATGTGGGTACGGAGGAAAGGAGAGAGGGTTTTCTTTTCTGACGCCTTGTGAGTTCCCCGACACACCGGGGACACATACTTATGTATAAAACACTTCAAAAAGTGCATTTTGCATAATAGGTCCCCTTTAATACGTTGAATCTCCAACGTGTCTGACAGTTGTTTTTGTAGATGAAGCTAGTTCAGACCTGTAGACATCCAGATCCAGAGTTACATTCCTGCCAGTCACCTCCTCCCTCCTTCTCCTGCCTCTCCAACAATCTGCCGCTTATCAGCCCAATGCACCCGCTTTAAAAATAGATGGGAAAGAACATGTCGCTGCCTGTGAGGGAGCAGACAACAAAAGGGAAAAGGGAAACAGGAAAGTGGACCTGGAGTTTAAACGGCAGCCACTTCACGACTGTTTACTCAATTATATGTGTGTTGCTCTCGGCTTCAAATATGTTTTTTAATAGTTATTGCAATGAAATCATGACGTTTTGAACCTGCATTTGCACATTTTCTACTCAATATAAAGACTTGAATAATAGATCATTCCTTCCCTCGTATTAAAACATTTATAGCCTCAGAGATTTATTCCCATTGTATACAGTAATAATGCTTGCTGGTGCATAAAAGGAAAGATCAGTGGACTATGTAACGGCAGCCATCCAGGTGTAAGTGATCACTTAAATGCATCCAAGCAAACCCTGGGTGTTTTTTTCCCCTTCAGTTTTGACAGCAGAATGCCCTGAAATAATTCCTTCTTATCTGTGTTTCAGATTAAATTACGGCCAGGTCCAGGAATCAGTCCACTACGGTCACCGCGATGCCTTATCGAGCCACAGCAGCCTGTTCAAACCGGCTTCCAGACAGCCGCGTGACGCCCGCAGCATGCCCCCCACCCCCCTCCTCACCCGCAACGCCTACAGCAGCAGCCAGCTCAGGTACAGCCCTCATTCACTCTGTGTTGTTACTTTTTTCACTCTTTTGGTGCAAATTACAAATCATCCTGGTTGTGCATTTGTGTGCAGTTTAAAGGATGAACAGGAAAACACTTGATTGGTTAGCTGGTCGGCTGTGTAGTGACTGGTCGGCTGTGTAGTGACTGGTCGGCTGTCGGCTGTGTAGTGACTGGTCGGCTGTGTAGTGACTGGTCGGCTGTGTAGTGACTGGTCGGCTGTGTAGTGACTGGTCGGCTGTGTAGTGACTGGTCGGCTGTGTAGTGACTGGTCGGCTGTGTAGTGACTGGTCGGCTGTTGTAGTGACTGGTCGGCTGTGTAGTGACTGGTCGGCTGTGTAGTGACTGGTCGGCTGTGTAGTGACTGGTCGGCTGTGTAGTGACTGGTCGGCTGTGTAGTGACTGGTCGGCTGTGTAGTGACTGTTCGGCTGTGTAGTGACTGGTCTGCTGTGTAGTGACTGGTCTGCTGTGTAGTGACTGGTCGGCTGTGTAGTGACTGGTCTGCTGTGTAGTGACTGGTCGGCTGTGTAGTGACTGGTCTGCTGTGTAATGACTGGTCGGCTGTGTAGTGACTGGTCAACCGCTTAGAGATGTCCCGCCCCTTAGCCTATTACGTAATGTCTGTTGGAGTGTTAGCCAATAGACAATCCTTTGTGCCTGTAGCCATTAGGCTGCTCAACAATGGGTCACAAGTACTGGACATAAAATACACACTGTTTTCACACATACATGTCAATATATCTAATATGTATATATGACCTAAATGTGTATATATGTTATATACCTATATCTTATTTTAAAGTTACTGTATATCATTTTATTTCTCTCATCTGTGTGAATCGTGTTTTTCATCCTTACTGAACTACTGAATTTCCCCATAGGGATTAATAAAGGTCCATCTTATCTTATCTTATCTTAGAAGTGCAAATGTTAAGTAGTGATGTCATTATGTTACAGAAGTTAAAAAGGCCTCTTTAAGTAAATGTTTTTAACTGGTGTTTTTTATTACAGATCGGAGGACGTTCCACAACATTTCCGCCAGCGCAGTGGCAGCCTGGAGTCCCAGTCTCAGCTGACGGAGGCCGAGCCCCCCGTGCCGACCTTCAGCTTCACCCCCGCCCGACGCAGCAACAGCACCGAGGTCCTCGACGACGGCTCCTCCTACACCAGCCAGTCCAGCGTGGAGTACAGCGTCCCCGGCAACCACACGAACAGGCGCAGAGCTCGCGGCCGCCACAGAAAAGACATGTACGCCAACACGGGTAGCATGCCCAACCTGGCTCAGCCCGACAATCGCCATGCCAACCAACCGCGAGCCAGACCCACCACCACGGCCTACTATGTGACGGGTTACCCCAGCTACCCAGAACCAGAGCCTTACGCTAACGGAGTGTACATGTACGACAACGAGATGGAGGGACACTACACCGTCAATCCTTCGTACCACCCAACACAGCCAACTTATCACAGCCACGAAGTGCACGGTCACTACGGGCACGACGAGATGGACGGCATGTCGCAGAACCCGTACGCCACTTTGCGCCCGCCCAGGAATCGCCAGGTCCCCCGCGGCAACGAGCAGCCCGTCAAGAACTTCCAGAAAGCCATCGTGGCAGAACATTTGAGAGGCTGGTACCAACGCAACGCACAACAACAACAACAACAACAACAGCCTGCGTACGGAAACTACGACTACGACAGAGGCTCGCAGCACAGCCTGGGCTATCAGACCATGCCTTCAGCCCAGAGCCACAACCACAGGAACATCGCCTACTCCTCAGGTGAGATCACTGCGCCGTGTGTTATGGATTCCAGCTGGGATCACCCGATACATCAGATATACATTATTGGATGATGTTGAGTAAAAACAAAACAAATGGTAGATTAGAATTAGTGCTTTGTAGTTGCTGAGCAGCTCAAGAAACCACCAACATTTACTTTTGAGATACTTTATTCAATATACTAAGTATTGACACGGCCACCAACTCACCCTTATTTTATTATTTGATCACGCTGCATTGTGGACAATTATGTGTTAAAAACAACTGCAGGATTCAAGCTAGTTAACTTAGGTTGTTGAGATGATTTGTTCAAGCTTAAAATCTGGTTAATTGTCAATTGTTCTTAATGTGTTGAAATGTTATCTTGTAAATTGTTGTTTGTATAAAATATCTATATCAAATCGATATTAGAGAGGGAACTATGCCCTGTTAAACTTTTGTACTTCCTCTTAAAGCGTAAAGTATACAATCATGTATTTCCTTATGATTCCTATGTCTATCTTTACATATAACTATTAATAGATGGCAATAACAAATTAAAATGATAACATTTCTATTTTTCGACGGTCTATACTGACAAATGTTGTGTTAAAACGTTAGTCTGGAGCCTGATATAACAGCTGCTATAACGAGACAAATCAAAACGGAAACAATCACAAAAAGGTCTTCAGGGAATCTCTAGTCTCCTGCATTGTGCTGTCGACCCCGTTTCCACATGAAGGTCAGATGCTGACTTGTACCATTTTTGTCTCCAGTGTCCTCAGCGTCCTTGAGTGGAAACTGGCACGGTCACATGAGTGTTGGTAGTGCGATGTCAGAATACGACATGCCCGCGCACGCACCGCAGTCCTACTCGTACAGCACAGCGCCCTACAGCCACTCCGCCCACAGCAGGTGAGAAAGAAGAAAAAACACAACTTGGCTTTAACTCAGCGTCTTATCCAATAAGCCACTCTCTGATCCTCCTGATCCCCACAGCTAACACTACTGTTCATTACCCAGAATGGCTGTTTACAGAACAAAATAAGCTGCTTTATGGGTTTTTAACAACAATACTGTGCTCTGATGTGTAGCCAATGTGACCATTTCTTCAGTTTAAGTTTGGAAAATTTGAAAAAAAACGACCATGTGGTTACAAGCAGGGTTCATCTGAGGATTATCAGATCTGTGCACTCAGTTCCTCGGAGCTTAAGACGTCTTCTCCTCCCTAACTGTCCACCGGCCCTGCTTTCTTATAGATATGGCGCCTCCCAGCTTTTAAAAGGCTCCTGGCTCAGCCCCGAAGGCCAGAGGCGCTGTGCCCTTTTCCCTGCTAGCTCTTCCTCCTCAGCTTCCTCCTCCCCGCCCTCTTCCTCCTATCCCTCCTCTTCCTCCTGCTCCTACTCCCCCGGGTGTCGGGAGAGGCAGCTTTCCTCCAGCCCTTCACGACCAAACTCCTCCAGAGGGCACAGGCTCAGTAAGGTGTCCTTTGCTAAAGGTAGTTCATAGTAAGTAGACGAAAACGCCCGCAGCCTGCGCGTCGTCCCCTTTGTCTGCAACGTGACTCCATAGTCTTGCTTGTCCGTGTTTTGAAGTGTGTTTGACTGATCGCTCATTGTCATGTATGATAAGGTAACTGCATGGCTTCTTTATAAAAAAACATGCCTGCCTTACTTCCTCTTCCAGCCGGCTTTTGTTGTCACACAGTTGTCACATTTCTCTCAACATAGTTTGCCTTCCTCTCGGCCCACACATTGTATCCTAGTCATCTTAGCCATTGCCTTTCCTCTCACTCCCCTGCCTCATGCTGGCAAACCGCCTAGGAGCTTTGTCATTCTTTAACTATCATTTAAATTAGCTGACGCCTTTATCCAAAGAGATGTACAATACGATAAGTTAGGGCTGTGCGATGATGGCAAAAATCCTAATCACGATTATTTTGGTCAATAATTGATATCAAGATTATTAAAAACGATTATCCATTTACTTTGAAAACAAAAATGTGAACAGTATGTTTTTAACAGTTGATTACCCTGAACTTTAAGTATAATTCAACTGAAAAACCAATAAAAAAAATTGTTTTAAATAATAATAATTACATTTTTTTTTTTTTTTTATAAATATAATAACTGTTTTATTTCGCTTACGTTGTTTTCGTAATCGTTGCAAGCCAAAATCGTAATCGAGATTAAAATACGATTAATTGCACAGCCCTACGATAAGTGCAAATAAACCATAAGATTCAAAATAAGGACAAGAACAACAGTCCTGAAATATTCACTTCAAACAAGGTTGTTCTGTACTGCTGCACAAGTTCATCTCTTAGGTGCTGCTCTTGCCAAGGTAAAGCGAAACAAGTGGCTCTTCAGTTTGCAATGGAAGATATGTAGTATCTCCACTGTCCTGATATCAGTGGGAAGCTGTTTTCCCAGAGCTGTGTACAGTTATGACCCAGATAGTTGAGTCGGCTTGCCCAAAACATTCATAAAACAGTCTGTTCTTCAGATAATACCAGGACAAACAGTGTCAGAGAGCAGTGAGGACATCTTGGCGTCCATCTTATCAGGTGGATAGCTCCCATCACTCCCTGCTGGGAACAGAGCCTGCTTTGACTGGTTATCAAATGTTGATTATTCTCTTAGAACTAGCTAAATACTCGGGACTGGGTGAGAGAGCTTTTTCACAATTGGTTGGAGCTGTATCACTTCTTTGCTGCTAATGTCTTTCTCAATGTTCTGGCCACAACTTCCAATGATTCTTCAGTGTCGGACATCAGTTCGAGTTCTCCAGTGTTTCGCCTTGTGTTCCAAAAAGTTTCATTACACCGCTCACCCTTGACCTTTGCCCCCTCTCATGCGCAGATGTCCCCCAGAGTTTGAGAGGCGGAGCCGTGGTAGGATGGCGTTCCCTGCACGGCCTTTAGAGTGGCGTGGTGATGTTTCCTATGCTACCAAACAAGAGAAATAAACCCCCCCCTGTCCCCTCCCATTATCAGTCCCAGCACAGCAGAAAGGGTGAGAGACGAGAGTGTAAAAACTCCCCCTCATGGTGACGGTGATGTGTTTTTGGATATCTGTGGCAGTGTGGCAGGGACTAACAGAAATCATCTCACATTTCAGATTTTGTTTGCTGTGTTTCCCTGGGTGTTTTGTGGTGGTGGGAGAGCACTTGTGTGGCAGAGGAGGAACATGTGACCCCTGAAATTCAAAGGCTATGCTTGTGTTCAATGCCTGCGTGCATCTGCTGTGCTGTACGGTGAGAATGATTGACCCTGGGTTTGACATCTGTCTGAAACTGAGATTGATAACAACACGCCTGACACAAACCAGAGTGCGTCTTATTTCTCTTAGTTTAGTGTCCTGTAGACAGAACATAATCAACAACTATTTCGGTTTGATTAGTCCTTAAATCTTCCACTAAAATGGCAGAAAATATCTCGGTTACAAAGATGTCTTGCTTGTCTCAGTTTTGTATCACAGTAAAGTGAATATACTTGGGTATCGAATTGAAAAAACAAGACATTCTTTTACATTTCTTGGACTTTGAGATGAGCATTTTTCACAATTTTCTGACATTTTATTGAACAATTGATCAATCGATTAACCCTTAAAATAAAAGGCAGATTTTTTGATAGTTGAAACAATTTGTTGCAGCTCTAGTTTCTTAATCTTGGCACTTAAAAGCTCAAATAAAATAGGACAATGTTGACAGCCCCAGGGTCAATCCATTCTTAACCAATCACAATCTTCATTCACTTTTCCATCTGTCTAATGGGTTCCATCTTGTCTGTTTCTTCCAGATCCTACATAGATGTCAACCAACACCCGCACGTCAGTGACCAAATGCACACGAACCCAGAGCCGGACGACAAGATACAATGGCACGAAGATTCAAAACCGGGAACAATAGTGTAGTCGCCGTCTGTCATCATCGCGCTGTTTGAATTCATTCACCTTGACAAGCTGTCATTGTGCCTTAGACTGCACTTACCTGTTTTTCTCTGTACGCGAGGATCCAAAGAATGAAGGAACTTAACTTTCGTGAGAGTAAAGGAATCTGTTGCCAAACTGACCCACAACGCTGTGATCGTACCGAACAAAAAAAGCCCACGGGAGCGTCTTCGTGTCTGGATTGGGAGTGCTTGTGGTGATGATGATGCACTGAAACTGTACCAGGACCTGCTGTGGACTGTGTGGTGGAGACGAAGGGAAAGTGGACTTTACAAAGCGAGGATTACTGAGCCGCTGCGAACAACCCTCCGCCACACACATGTATGAACACTGTAACCATGAAGGATCGGACAAGGAGCGATAAGGACATTATCCAAAAAAAATGAAGGATTGAACTCGTTATGAATGAGTCAAAAGGTGATGGCTACTTCCTGGAACACTCTGCAGAGCCAGTTGTATTGTAGCTTGTTACTAACACCCACCATACTCTGTGTTTGTCATTTACAAAGTATTCTCACTGTCAGTACTTACAATACAAATGAGCCAAATACTTGTCACCATTCTGAGTATTACCCACACTTAAATATCACTGCCACATCTGATCAGTCACTGCAGAAAGACTTTTTTTATTTGAACATGGTTATTTTCATCCATGCTGGAAATCATGGACTGGTGCTTCTAATTTCTCTCAAGAGAATGAAGCCGTATGTAAATGTTGGTTTTGTAAATACACTGGTTCCGTCTTTTTTTAGAGCATTTTTATGTATTTGAAAAGCATGTAATATATAGTGAAAACAATGGTTGTTAAGCTGGTTCTTAGTCATTTGTACAATTGCATTTGTTTGAATAAAAAAAATCAGCATTTAGATCAGTTTAGTCTGTTTTCACTCATATTTATAAAATATATACTTCCCCCGCAAGGTTACCATTTGTTTTTCAGAGACAAAAAAAAAAGGGTTTTCTCATAAACGAAGAATAGGGGATCCGGGTTAAGTAAAACTATATGAAAGCATCTGTTTACAAACTCACAACTTGTGCATTTGTTTACACTTCTGCATAAAAAGCATTACGCTTGCAAAGGCGCGCCATTCGTTTTATCATGTGTGGTTTTAGTGAAAATGCACGTGTTACTAAGCACAGGCCTGAATAAAGGAGACTTGTGTAATACTGCACAATCTTTGTGAGAGTTTGATGTTTTGACATAGTTTTACTTTTGTCAAAAATTATAAGATTTACCTCAAATCATCAGGACATTTGTTTCTGATGTTGGATACTTAATTTGACGTGCAGGCATTAGATTTCTTTAGGTATCGAAGGAAACTCATGAGGAGTATCTGATCAAACAAATGGTCATTTAACCCTCCTATTGTCTTCGTTTCCCCCCTTACTTTGGTGTTCGCGGTCAAATTTGACCGGTCCTGTTTTAACTGCTATTACATTAACACAAAAACCATATCACCAAATTTCATTTAACACCCTTTCAAACTGTAAATATTGTATCAGACTACTGGTATACGTAATCATGAAAAACTGCAGTAAATATACAAAGAATAGACACTGAACATGTATTGTGTGTGCCAGGTGTGATCCATGTGGGGGGATGGGCACATAAGAGCGGGAAATGTATCAAATTGTTCTGTGTGTTTGTGTGCCAGGTGTGATTCACATGGGGGGATTGGGCACATAAGGGGGGGAACACATCTAGAGTATGTGTCTGTGTGTTTGATCTGATCCGGATGGTTACTAATTCCTTTTCTTTATGGCGGTCATTTTTGACCGGGAACACCATGGGTGTTACAAAGTTGACTAAATCATCCAAAATTCAATGAAAGTGGTGATCAACAATTGTATATGTTCAAATGTCTACTGTGAAGGATATCATAAAGCCTTAATGCAATCGAATGTAAAACAAAAAAGTTATGATTGATGAAAGTAGTAAATCAGTCGATTTGACCCGAAGACAACAGGAGGTTTAACGGAAGAATGACTCCTTTAAAAGTAATGTAAAGACTCTGTAACATCTCAGGGAATGTAATCAAGTGAAAAAACCTGAGTGCAGGAAAACACAGGATTTAAACTCAAATCTGTTAAATCTGGTAATTGAACGTCTGTTCAGCCAATTCAATTCATGAAATGCGGTTTAAAGAAAGTTCCATGATTGCCACCAAAGGAACTCTAATGAACACCTAATTGCTCTGAACAACAGGCTTTGTCCCAGTGGCTTAGGACGACTATTGAAACATAAAAATACATTCTCCACATATAAATAGTCTGCGTTGCATTTAAGGAGGCAGATTTTTTTAGCCAGTATGAATAAATGCAGAGCTGCAATGAGAGTCCTGATGAGAGCTCTTTATGAGGAAATGATCTGCTTTTAGGGAGCCTCTGGTGCTGCAGAGCCTTTTCTGTTCCCACCGCCTGCTGTGTTGCTCGGCTGGTTTTCCGTGTCCTTAAGCCGAGAACCGCCCAAACCAGTCTTTAAAAGCTGTCACACCCATTATGGGTTATAAACCTGTTCTTCTGTCCTCCCTGTGAATGACAAGCCGGTGTTTATAGCACCCAACCCTCCCTGTGGGCCTAGTGTTTTAGAAGTCTGCTGTACACATGTAGATTACGCTGAAACCCTTCACCTCCTTTTCCCACTCACTCTTCCTTCCTACATTCTTTCCACCACCAAATATCCTGCTTGCCTCTTTATGAAGGCCACAGTGGAGCAGTTTCACTTGCTCTCAGAATCAGGTTTATTACCAGGTAGGTTGACACGTACGAGGAATTTGACTTGATGTCATGGTGCATATATAAAAGTAAAACAAAAATTAAAAAACACAGATGGAGAACTATTTTAGGAAAACTATAATAACATATAAAGTCAAATATAGCAGTATTTACATAGAAATAGAATGGAATAAAATGCAGTGCTCCTTTCCAGTGTTTTGCCTCTTGAGCGAGCTCAGGGGAGGTCTCAGACACTTCCAGCTTCTCGGCTTTAACCCGAGGCAGAGAGAGGAACTGGTGGGTTGTGTGGGTGGGGGGGGGTCGTTCTGTATCCAGCTGTCTCCTTGTGTCTCTGCGCCGCTGCTGCTGCTGCTTCACACCAGCTGCAGACAGACATCAGGCGAGGCTGCTCCAGCTGACACTCCGCTACATCAACAATGGGCTCTTATGTGCTTCCCCCTCATCTAACACTACAGACAAAACTGGAAGATGGGGAAGATTATGGCGATTATGGGAAGAAAATGAGCCGGAAGTGTTGAAACCATTCTGGGGAACTTTTTAGTTTTTTGATAAACAAGCTCTATCTACTGATGTTCTTCGAAGCGTCTTATTAATGTTAAAAGCACAAAAACAAATTCCCATTGTCTTATTGTCATGGTAAAATAAAAAAGGCACTCTCCCGTGAGTTGAGTATCATTAGTGCCTTTCAGCCTCTTTGTTTTGGTTTTACGCCCCAAAACTTTTAGGTTCCACTGTTGTGAACCCTGTTTTTAGAAATAGCAAGAAGCTGTTTTTGGTAAAAAATAAAACTCATAATAAACCAACTGTAAGCTGCGTGACCAGCAGACAGACAGTGTTAACAACTTGCTAGGAAACATAGCGTAGCATTGGGCTAACCAGCCACATATTTCCCTTGGTATTTGGGCTCCTCGGAGCTTAAAGGAGAGTGAATATTGTCATAAAATGCATTCATTCATTGAATTGATTCAATAATATGACTGTAAATTAACTCTAATATTGTGCTGTGACTTTTTGATGTGTAAATAGGCAACTGTTGCCGAACAATTTAGCCATTACAACCTCATAAGATTATGTTGTACAATGTTGTATGACAGCTTGTTCTGCCCCAAAATGCTGCTTTAAATCACATTTATTTTATCAAGTAGTTACACATTGACTTGTGTTTCGACATTAGCATGTGGGGCTTTTTTGGTGATTGCAGTCAGGTTGTTGTGTCTTTCCAGGACAGTAGTCCAAGTTGTCTCTGCCCGAGACTTGAACATCTTGCGAGAGTTCAACCCAGTCTCACGGCATTTCGTGTTTTAATTCGAAATTAATTTCATCTATTGATTCGTGTTCACCAACACGATTTTCACCTTTTTTTCGTGTCACACAGAACGATTTTAAATACAATGTATTTCTATTGGTAGTATGTTTCGTGCCTGCAACACGTCTTTTTGTCCGGTCGGGTCTTGGAAGACCGGAAGCTGTGTGGTTCATAAAAACATGTTCTTACTCAATATCTTACCCTAAGCCTAACCCTATCCCTTTTATTTTAAATTGTATAATGTCTGAGTTGTTTTGCCGTCAGTGAGGAAAATAAATGGGGCTCAGAGCCTCAGAATACTGACATCTGTATTTTATGCCATCTTTTTTTCCTTCTAATTTGTTATTATTTGGTGCAGGCACGAAACATACTACCAATATAAATACATTGCTTCTAAAATCGTTCTGTGTCAGAATAGTTAAATCTGTATTTTTTTTAATGTGTTTTTCCTTCTAATTTGTTATTATTTACATTGCTTTTAAAATCGTTCTGTGTGACACGAAATAAATGGCGAAATCGTGTTGGTGAACACGAATCAATAGATTAATTTCGTGACTATAACACGAAATGCCGTGAGACTGTGTTGGAGAGTTTGTCAAATCTAGGATAAACATCTAGCCATGACCGGGTTATTGTAAAGAAACATGTTGGCATCAAAGTAAGCTTTTAAAATGGAATCGTTTTGGTGTCAGGACTGAAACGTACATTAGTGAATCTAGTATCACATAAACAACACCCATTAAGCAGATGGATGTCAGACATGTCACCGCTGCCATATGGCTCAGACAAGCTCAGATTAAATTGACTTTGTTGTGCCACGGCTTCCCCTGGATCAGCACACTTACCTTGATCCAGGGGGTAATGGCTTTGACACGTTGTGGGTGTGTGGAGAGGGAACAGTGGGATTAGCTGCGCGGTCACATGGGCTAATAATACAGACACCCTTCTGTAGAGGAGGCAGTGAAAGCAGCGTGGGTGTACGGTCAGATTGAAGAGCTCATAAGGATGTGGCAGCCTGCAGAGGTCACAGGGGGAATCTGTCACGTGATCAGCTGGGTCCAAGCAGGCAAACCTGCTTTTTTAACAGACTGACAGGCTGTCTGAGTTATGAGGCTTGCTAACTAGCTTGGCCAGTAAGAAACCAAAGCCTCACGGGCATGCTGAGGAATGGAGGGGTCAACCTGAGTGTGCATTACCAAAAACATTTAGGCTACCGGTGGCTGCCTGAATCTTCTTCAAGAAACTGATACTGGCCTACGTGCTGTGAATGGATCAGGCACTACATACGGGACATGGATGCACTTTGCTCCAAAGCGGCTAATCGGCTAGCTAGCAGTGGGAAGCAGCTATACCCCTCAATAAAAACATGCACTGTCTTGCAAAATGGTGGAACCAGATCTACATTGATATCAGAACTGCAGAAAGTCTACACATATTCCTTTACAGACTGAACACCGACCTATTTCAAGTGCAACATGGCCATCAAAAGCTAAAAAAACACATTTCTGTATGTAGCACTTTAGCCTTTTTGAAGCTAATGCACTCGCGCTTGAGATTCTTTGGCGTTATTGAAAGCCAATGTACTTGCAGAATTTCTCGCTGATAATCTTCATGGTTGATTGCACTTTTTGTAAGTCACTAAATGTAATGTAATGCCCCACGCCTATGTGCGGTGGAACCCAAACATGACACAGTCGTTGCAAGTGCTAGCAACTAGCGCAGAAACAGTACACAGGTTTGCTTTTGTGTCACTGACTCATACTGCCTCACTGAACATTACCTTTGAAGCAATTATGATGTTTCAAAACGACAAGGGTTCATACAAAAATACCAATAACTAATTAGTGTTGTTGTTTTCCTCTACTGGTTTCTGTCAAACACCAAAGACACACCTGTTGGGCATGCAGCACACACACACACACACACACACACACACACACACACACACACACACACACACACACACACACACACACACACACACACACACACACACACACACACACACACACACACACACACACACACACACACACACACACACACACACACGTGTTGATATGATCATCACAGCAGCTGCAGCTACACAAGGGCCTCCACTGTGCCCCCAGAGACAGACATGACTTTACACGAGTTTATTGCCACCAGTGCTTGTGTTCACTCCCTCGTGTTGCACAACATGGACGTAGATGAGGCACGGCAGGGGAGGACATTTATCACTACTGAAGCACTGAGGAGAGCCACTGGAGTACTGTCACACCTGAGTGTGCAGAGGTCATTAGCAGGGTTCATTTAGAAAAATACCACACATACCTTTCAAAGTAATGATGCAGCCTAAAATGGATTTTAGTCATTTAAAAACAGAAGGGCTAGGTCGTTTATAAACTGTAGGCACTGTAGAAAAAATACTGCTGATTTAATTATTCAAGATTATTTAAAGTTGCATGTTTTGGGAACATTTTCTGATATGAATCTGAAGCTTTGAGTGAAATGTAAACAAACCCCTTTGTTGACATGTTAGGAATATAGATAGGAATGAAACAGGAACATTTGGTTAAGTGCTACTGAAATGGAGGTTTCTGTCTCAAAAAACCTACATTTGCAAGGCCCTTAATGAACAAAATAGGGTGAAAATAGTAGTTACCACTTAAATAAAGATATTATATTTTTTGTACTGCATGTATCTGAAAGAAGACAAGTAAAACAAATTAGCCTAAATTGTTGAATTGACTACACTAAAAACTAGAGTTTTCTCTTGTAGTTTTTCACCTTAAAGGTGGGGTAGGTAATTCACTTCAGAAACACTTTTTGTTATATTCCATGGAATGCTCTTAACATCCCGATAGCAATGAATAAATTAAATGCTTTGACAATAAATATATACAAATATCTCATCTGTGGAAGCCGTGGCGCTGTAAAAAGCACGTCCAATCATCTGCCTTGGCCCGCGGAAGATAATTGGATGGCCTACCTGCCTGTCAGCCTTCCATCTGTGCACAAACTTATCTCGTGCCCTCATTGGACATGTGCGCGTTCGTGTGTGTTGGAGGTGGGGCGGCAGATTTTTTTCGGTTGTGTACTTTCAAATTCTAGCGCACTCAAGCTGGTTTCTCCATTCTTACCTACCCTACCTTTAAGTATATTAATAAGTGTAACGTTTGCACACCGCTATAACAAACAGTGGAGCAGCTGAGCATTTACTGTAAATCACATTTTCCTTACTGCTCCTAAACTTCAACTTTTCAATGCGCCAACCACCTCTTCGGGCTAGAAAAAATTAAGTAAGACAACCTTCATCAGAGAGCACTTATGTCAGATAGAAACATTTAACTAGTATGGAGAAAGTCTAGGAACAACACAAAATGTGCAATAATTGTGTCAGTGCAGGGAACTGTTTTGAGCAACAGCTAAATATTGCAACAAGTGGACATCAGGTCTGAATGAACACAGGCACTTTTAAAACCAGATTCAGTCTTTGAAGTTCTTTCCAATCCCCATCATTCTTATCTTCATGTTTCCCCCAAATCCTTACACACTGCCTGCCACGTTACATATAACACAGTTGCACATGGATTCTCCTTATCTGCAGCCAATTTCAAAAGGAATCCTATTTATGTTTTTGTCTGAAGTTGCTGACCCAGCGAGTTGAAGCGAGGTTTGGAGGTGAATGACTGCAGATGAATCTGTGCAGCACTCAGCTCTCCACACTATAATCTACTGCAGGCCATTGATTAGCATGAGGGTAAGTGGAGAGTTAGCCAATCCATCAGCCAGAGGGGCATTGTCAAAGATTAAACAGAGCAGTGAGAGGTGCGGCAGGAATACTGATGGTCAGGGTTAAGACCTCACACTCCTTTGAAGTCTTCATTTCTTATATTGACTCAGTGTTTGTAGAAGTATTTATTTCATAGCTCAAGACAAAGGTTTCTTTTCTGAACTGCATGAACATGAAGTTGGAAAGGTTTACAGTACAGTGAAGTACATATATTATACTTGTATACAAATGTGAGTTACGTTAGTTGAGCAGTCCCATTTCATGACAGGTTCTACTTCACTACATTTCAGAAAGATATTACATAGAAAACATATGAAACACTTTTAAAATACAATGCATTGTACACACGTTTGATTTTAAAAGATGAATCAGGAAGGAAACTCCATCTGGAGGGAACTTTGGGATTTTAGCCTTCGCAGACCATTTACATGCACAGAAAACCTATATAACACACTGACTACAGGGAAGGGAGAACTCAAAAAGCATTATAGGGCCTCTTTAATTGTGACGTTTTACAAATCACACAGTTCAATGATCAATCCAAAAAAATATTAAAATGAGCTCTGCTTGAACTTTATTGGGTCATAATGTATTGCAGTGTATTGCACATATACTCCCATTTGATGTATAAACTCACAGTAGACATGTTTCTGCATTGAGACATTTCACATTTGGTACTTCAAGTACATTTTCCTCATGATACTACTTACACATGTTCACATTTTCAAGGCTGGACAAGTATTTATTTACAGTGTAATATATATTTTTTGTGAATGATCTGAATACTTGCTCCACATGTAAAGAGAGATTATTCCAAAACTTCAACACTTTAGCCTTCAAAATACCCTGGCAGTGATATGTGTAGAGTCTGCACCCTTGTAGTCTTTGCCACAGAACGACACGTTGATTTCACAACTTCAACTGAGCCTAAACAGTTTCTGAGACTCATTAAACTGAATTATGACGTCTTCAGAGTCTGCAGCTGTGCACAGGAACACATTGCATAGCAGAGGAGTGAAGTGCATGAAGTAAAAGTGCCCCGACAAGTTCTGGGTGGAGCAAGAGATACCCTGAGGTAAAGATAAAGCCCTTCAGATTACAAGCTGTCTTTTTAAAAAAAACACAACACAGGAAAACAGACTTTAAAAGGGTTTAGACTGAGGCATTCACAGACAAATCCAAGTCACAATCTTTGGTGCGTAAAGTCCCTTCAATCCTTCAGTTTCTCCTCCAGGTAGTTCTGGATCTTCATAAGTTTCTCCTCTTGCTGACCCAGAGCCTGCAGCAGAAGACCCATGGGTGACCTCTTCAGCCCCACGGCCTCTATCTTGTTCTCCATCTTATTCTTCATGTTGCGCAGGCGATAGGATGCGTGTGCAAGTATCACTGAAAAGCAGATGGGGAGTGACTGTGAATGTTTGGCAAAAACAAGCCTATAAACTTTGTTTCGTGATGAGTCAAACCAGAAGAGTATCAGCGTTGAGAATCTAAATTTCAGTCCAAAACATGTTTCATTGATTTTTGAAAGATCTGTGTTGTCATTTCACAATACTCCAAATTATCCAGATTATGATACCATAGCTAGATGAAATATATATATGTAGTGTTGGGAGGGTTGCTTTCAAAATGTATTCTGTTTCAATTACTAGTTACCTGAGAAAAAATGGAATCAGTAATTTCATATAATTTGTATCTTAAAGGTGGGGTAGGTAATTCACTTCAGAAACACTTGTTATATTCCATGGAATGCTCTTAACATCCCGATAGCAATGGATACATTAAATGCTTTGACAATAAATACATACAAATATGTCATCTGTGGAAGCCGTGGCGCTGTAAAAAGCACGACCAATCATCTGAGCCGGCCCGACTAAAATAACTGGATGGCCTACCTGCCTGTCAGCCTTCCATCTCGTGCACAAACTTATCTCGTGAATGTGAACTTTGAAAATAAGAAACCTATTTATAGGAAAACCTGCCTTTCATTCAGCATATTCAGGCAGTAGCCTATACACCAACAATGAAACATGAGCACATACTACAGTTTAAAAAAGCAGAAATAAAATCTGAGCTCACAGGAAATACTCTGTTTTAGTTTAAATACATACAGTGAAGCTCACACACAGAAAAGGTTCACCTGCTGAATTAAAAAAAGAACAAATGAACCAAAGAAAGTGAAAACCATAAAGCAGATTCAGGCAGTAGACGTATAGATGCACACTTAAAGTATTATCCTACAGAACAGTACAGCTTACAGAGAAGAAATAAAATCTGATCCTTTTACAACAAACACTATATACTCTCTTCTTTAGTAATCCCCAATTTTTTGAAATGTAATAGTAATCTGATTACGCCTTTTTGTATGTAACTGTAAGGCAACACTGTTACTTTTTTTATTCTGATTACAGTATCCTGTGATTTCTGTTACTCCTCTAGCCTGTTAATATCCCTTATTCTATTGACATGTATATCGACTTTTTGCACTACTTTGTATTTTATTATATATGTTGCATTGTTGGAGCAGCTCAGGTCAGAAGAATTTCATTGCCATTTCTACACTGGAGCTTTGTGCTTAGGACAATAAAACCTTTGAAATTGAAATTGAAATCTGTGTGTTTACTTACAAGCCAGGGGGAGAGAGATGGCAGACAGGAACCATATGACGCTCCCCAGCATGCAGAGTAAGATGTAGCTGGTGACCGTGAGGCCGATCCCGAACACTACGGGGTTGACTCTCTTCAAGCTGCCCATGAAGTCTTGGTTCTCTGCGGCCCACACTAAGCCCAGGAAGATGGCCGACCCCAGGGCCATGGCTGCGAACATCCCCTCAGGGTTCAGGCACCTGGCAGGGACACACATGAGAGGAAACGGTCAGTTCAATGTATTTTTGGTTTTCCCTTTCCTGTAGTGTGTTATATAGGTTTTTTTTTGTGCATGTAAATGGTCTGCAAAGGCTAAAATCCCTAAGCTCCGGAACATAGTGACATCACTACTTAACACTCGCATTGCTATTGGCTGAAGCTCCAACACATTATACGTGATAGGCTAAGGGGCGGGACATTTCTAAGCGGTTGACCAATCACAACAGAGCCGGCCAGCTAACCAATCAGAGCAGACTGGGCTCTGGTTTCAGACAGAGGGTGAAAAGAGGTGCTGCAGCACAGGCAGTATGAGAAAAATAAAGAGCTTTTGAACATTAAAGCATGGAGACATGTCACAGTAGAGACACTACATACTAATATGAACCTGAAAATTAGCATAATTATTTTTAGTATAATAGGGCCCCCCTGTGTGTGTGTGTGTGTGTGTGTGTGTGTATGTGTGTGTATGTCTGGTCACTGGCTCCACCTAGTGGTTGGATGGAACATTGTACCTGTTAGTATCACAGACATTATGCATACCAGGACAGGCGCAAAGATACAGTAAATATACTTGTAATGCAATTCATTCATTTCAGCCCTGAAAACCCTTCAACAGTTTAATTTTTTTCCTCAATTGTAAAATGCACAGCTGCATTAATTTACTTGTGACACAAAATAATGCAAAATTGAAATTATCCATATATTGTAGAACAGTATATATATATTGCTCCAAAGAGTAATTTACATAAGGAGATACATCTTAACCCACTGTCCACTTTACAGGTGAGATCCTTAACTCGCCAGCGCCCTCTGGTGGACGAACTATGTAACAACCATCACATTTTTAAATCACCTGAAAAACATCTTTCTTGTTACTAATGGTCATCACATATTTGTTTATATCAACTTATCTGTCATAAGCTATAACAAAACAATATATTCTTCAGTAGTCTATCCACTGTAAGAAAGTTACTACATTTCTGAAAATCTCCAGACATCATGTAAATAAACCAAAAAGAAGGTTAGCTTAGCATTAGCCTTTTCCACCAGTCCTGCTAGAAATGCTAGCCCCTTGTATTCATGCTAAATATTTGCTTCCTGCATGTGTTTAAAACATTTTCCTGAGTCTGTAATTGAGTTGAGCAATTGTGCCTCTTTGCATGTGACTTTATATTTTAATCTCGATTCAATACAAGTTTTACCCTCCGCATATCTCACACACATCTCACACACACCCACACAAACACAGTGAATGTGCCAACAAGGGAACCATGCTTTCTATGTTTTAACTGTGTAAAAAACAAATGTAATGTGTCAGTCAAAGTCCATCTTTGCTTAGGATGATGACTCAGAATTGACTAAATTATCCAATACTGTGTGATCTCCCTAATCTGGGGTTCAGCTGTTTAAGGCGCTGTTTTCCCACTACTGTGCTTCTGCAAACGCTGACTAGACAAACCTTATGAGGCCTTCAGGACTAAAACACCAATATTTCAACACACAGGTCAGCAGACAGACCATGACGGAGCTATTCGTATGTAAATTAGGCTTTGGTTGTTGGAACAAAGTGGTGCCAACTATGAGAAGATATTTCCCCAGATGAGAGATTTAACCACTTGTTTCCTGATCTGAGTAAATCTGTCTTCCTCCTTAGATAATAAACTAGTTCTTCAGGAAGTGTGCAGCAGTCTAGATTAGAGCTGCTGCTTATACTTGAATGTATTTATTATGGCACAGGACTATGATAGAGCTCCAAAAGAGTGTTCATACTTTTAAGGGACAACTCAAGACATTTATATATACAGTCAATGCTCAAGACCCACTTTTTTAATTGGCTTTTAACTTAAATATATGCTTTATTCTGTCCTGTGTTCGTTGACTTCTGTTGGTATAAAGTGTATTTGTTAATTACAAAGTTAAGAGTTGCTCTATTAGGAGGGGGTTGGTATTGTTATTATTTTTGTTTGTTTGTTTTTTGTGTTTTATTTTGGTTACTTTCTGTTACTTTTGCATCTTAAAAGTGCTAAATAAATAACTTGAATGCGGTCTGTACTACCACATTACTACATAATAGGTGCTTCATGACATACATTTTGCATTATATGGTAATATCAATTAAAAAGTCTTACCTATATCCTACATAAGAGGACACATTGGTTAAAACTTGTTCAATTTGGTAGAAAGAAGACAGTTTTATACAGAAAGTAACAGTGCATCATGCTGAAACATTATTTTCCATTCACTCCTAAGGGACTCAATCCAACTGTCTGTGGTCTGAAGTGGAACAATTACTCAGATCTTATACTTAAGTAAGTACCAGAGTGTAGGAATACTCTGTTACAGTAAAAGTCCTGCATTCAAAAAGTTACTCAAGTAAAAGTCGATCAGTATTAGCATCAAAATATATTTAAAGTACCAAAAGTAAAACTACTCATTTTGCAGATTGGTCCATTTCAGAATAATATATATGATATGTTTTGTTTATAATTATTGATCATTAAAGTGTACTTTGTATACTGCAGGGTAGCTTGTGAATTTACTCCAGGTGGAACTAAAGTCTGATTTAAGAGCTGATTATATTTCATATCATTAAACTGCATCTGTAACTAAATGTATTAAATATATGTAGTGGAAAGTACACTATTTACCTCTGAATTGTAGTGGGGTAGAAGTACAAAGTAGCAAAAACATTGAAATCGTACTTGAGTTAATGTTAGTGACTTTACACCACTGTAAAACTCTTCTTCACAAAACTATATATCCTTTCTGCACATGTTTACTTAATCCCTTTAAAGTAGGCTACATTGCAGTTTAAACTAACAGGACAACAACAAAAAACAGCAATACACATGAGACAAAAACAACCATGAAAAGTGAATTTAGCTGCAAACAACCAAATAAGCACATCACCAACTCCTGTATGCATATTATGTAACTTACCCAACAACGATGAAAGCTACAAGGGCTATAGCGATGTAGTTGGTTTGATAGTAAAGCAGGTTGCTGACCACCCTGTTGCCCCATCTCGTCAGGTCCTTCCCGTCCGGTTTGCAGAACCTCTCCGAGCCGGGGAAGAAGTCTTCCCAGGATCTGAGCGGAGTCACCTCCACTTGAGCCATTTGCTGCCAGCTCCGTGTACTGATCTGACAGGACTTCATCACAAGCCGTGAAGTCACCAAAGCAACACACTGAACTCTCGCGAGAAGTTGTAGACAGCAAGCTGCTCTCGTCGGCGTGTTTTTTTTGTGTTAACTTTATTAATCAAGAGTCATTTCCAAACCTTTAAGGCACTTATTTTCAGTCAATAACATTGAATGGTGCAAATAAAGAATAGATAATCGTTAACAAGAAAGCAAGGGGTCTATCCAGTTACATAAATAAAGTCACTAAACCACCAAACTGAAATCTCGCGATCAGTTGTGGACAGCAAGCTGCTCTCGTCGGCGTGATAAAACCTCACGCTATTGGTCAGAAACCACCGAAACACTTCCTGCTTAGCTGCATGCTCATGTCAGAGAAGGATATCATAAATTCATAGTAGCGTTGTCTGGTAATAACACTTTCTATATGAGTGGCTCTCAGTTGTGTACGTTATGTTTGAAGCGTTAACATTGCCATGTTGTTTCTCATGTTCTCGCGATGTTTGAGCAGCTTTACAAGTCAGCCAGCCAGCGTGACTTCAATGACATGTAGCTAACAGTAAGCTAGCTCTCAAAAAGCTCTAAATAACAAACACTTGATAACTTATTGGTTGTTTGTACAGATGTGGAGCCGGATATTGAAGCCTCGGGTGATTGGTAGAACAGCTTTCTATTGGAGGAGTCTCTTCACCATGCAGCTGAAGACCAGTGAGTTCAAGTCTCTGTTCAGTGAGGGGCTGAAGGGATTAGCAGGTGAGATGTGACAACAAACACACCTCTAAACAGTGCTAATACAGACCTCTTGTCTTCAGTAAAGCTAGGTAGTGAACTTTCACAATAGAACAAGTAATAAGGTTCAAAGAGGAACATATTAGATCAATAATATGGCTGTCAGATATTAGCTTATTGCAGATACTGTAAACAATATATTGGTGGTGGCTATAACAACTCTTGCAGTACAGAACTATAGGAAAATACAAGTTTGAGACTCATATTATATTAGATAAGATATACCTTAATTCATCCCAAATTGGGACATTGTTTTGTCACAGTAGTAAAAAGTTAAAAGCAATTACACAAGCTCATGTAAAGCTAGGTTGCGGTCGAATACTCCAAAAAAACAGCTCCTAAGTTCTAACCCTATCGTCTATTCCTTGACCTCGGAGTGAAACGTCATGGGGTTAAGGGATAGTGGATAGGAGAATTCAAAAGGATTTAGGAGAAGAGACTGCGGTACTTTAGAGAATCCGACTGCACTTTCACTATCCGACGTGTTTATGATGCGCCAGCGGAGGTCATAAATGTGGCCTGCTGCGGTGGGGAAACTACAGTTTTCTATACAGCGGACTACAACAGGGATGTTTAATAAGAACGAGGGACTACTGTAAACTCTGCACCGTGCTCTGATTGATTGATTGAAAAGTTTATTAACAGCTTGTATATTGGGTACAGTACAGTACAGCTCAAAACATACAATTGTTAAGGGGATGCAGACCAGAGAAAGACTTTCGTCTTGTTTACATCAGGGTCCCCCATTTCCAATTCATCATATCATTTAAGACATATAAGACATATTTGACATACAGATGGCTTATTTACAATATACATACAGGTGGTTTTTTACATACAGATGGCTTATTTACAATTTTCATTTTAGATTTCGTTCTAATACATCCTAACCGGACATTTAAGACATACCAAGTCTACAGATATACAGTTAGTAACAGAGTCTAAAATGCGAGTATATACATAGATGGGGGGGGGAAGCTGTCCATTGTACGACAGGTTGAGATTTGTACCATTACCGGGGCCAGTTTTGCAATGCTTTCCCCCGAAGGTGCTCTTTAAGAGAGGTTTTGAAGGTAAGTATAGTTTTACTTTCCTTTACAGTTGTGGGAAGAGCGTTCCACCTTGATGTGGCATAATTGCGAAACGTGTATTCCCCTTTTTTTGTGCCAAATCTGGGTTTTACATGATTTGTGGAGCTCCCTCTGGTGTTATGATCATGGTATTCCTTGACCTTTGGGAAGAATTTTGACATGTACATGGGTACCATAGAGGTGTAGTGGATCTTGTAGACCAGGCCCATTGCAAGTAGCTGTACTCTGTCGTCTACTCTAAGCCATCCTAGGTTGTCAAAGTGGGCAGAGGTGAGGTGGGTTCTAGATGAAAGGTCAAGCAGTAGTCTGACCAGTTTATTTTGCGATGTTTGAAGTTTTATTTTTAGCGCCTTGGAGGTGCTATGGTACCATGACGTGCAAGCATAGTCATAGTACCCTTGAATGAGTGCTCCTGCCAGAGTTTTCAGGGTGTTTTTGTTTACCAGAGAGGAGATCCGGTATAGGAATCTAGTTCTTTGATTGACTTTTTTTATTACATTGGATGCCATTTTGTCACAGGAGAGGTTTGCCTCAAGAATAGATCCTAGGTATGTAATTTCCTTCTTACTTGTGACAATAATGTCACCCACTGCAACTGAGAAGTCGTCGGATTTGCTGAGATTATGTTTCGAACCGAAGAGAATGGACTCTGTTTTACCCAGGTGTAATGATAATTACTGATGCTGTTGTTTTATGCTTTATGAACGGGGACAACAGAGAAACATATTCTTCATGACCAAAGTTGGAATTGAAATAAAAAAGGAAAGTGAAATGTATGCTCGTCACCCTCTCCCTCCGGTCCACATTAATACAAATGATCCCAATACGTATGATTGTATGAACTATGAAAAGATCTTAAAATCAATACAAATGTATTTATTATAAACGTTAGTCCTTAACATCTATCACTGTGTATATCACCATTCAAACATCTTTTAAAAGTTGTTAAACCATCTCTCGTTTTTAATATAGACTTTATTTAGGGTCGATATGTGTTGACTTTACTTTAAAATAGCAGATCTCTGTGACATGATATAGTTTTTCCGCTTAGTGAACGTGTGTCTCTGCTCTCAGGAGCTGCAGCACCGCGGCTCGTGTGTGTGTGTGTGTGTGTGTGTGTGTGTGTGTGTGTGTGTGTGTGTGTGTGTGTGTGTGTGTGTGTGTGTGTGTGTGTGTGTGTGTGTGTGTGTGTGTGTGTGTGTGTGTGTGTGGTGTGTGTGTGTGTGTGTGTGTGTGTGTGTGTGTGTGTGTGTGTGTGTGTGTGTGTGTGTGTGTGTGTGTGGTGTGTGTGTGTGTGTGTGTGTGTGTGTGTGTGGTGTGGTGTGTTGTGTGTGTGTGTGTGTGTGTGTGTGTGTGTGTGTGTGTGTGTGTGTGTGTGTGTGTGTGTGTGTGTGTGTGTGTGTGTGTGTGTTAAAATGCGGTAAAATGCTTCAATCTGGTCCACTTTAAGCACACATTACTAGAGACTAGGGTTGCGTTCGAATACTCCAAAAAAACAGCTCCTAAGTTCTAACCCTATCGTCTATTCCTTGACCTCGGAGTGAAACGTCATGGGGTTAAGGGATAGTGGATAGGAGAATTCAAAAGGATTTAGGAGAAGAGACTGCGGCACTTTAGAGAATCCGACTGCACTTTCACTATCCGACGTGTTTATGATGCGCCAGCGGAGGTCATAAATGTGCGCCTGCTGCTGTGGGGAAACTATGGAAACTACAGTTTTCTATACAGCGGACTACAACATGGATGTTTAATAAGAACGAGGGACTACTGTAAACTCATCTAGAGACTCTGCACCGTGCTCTGATGCTGTTGTTTTATGCTTTATGAACGGGGACAACAGAGAAACATATTCTTCATGACCAAAGTTGGAATTGAAATAAAAAAGGAAAGTGAAACTTATGCTCGTCACCCTCTCCCTCCGGTCCACATTAATACAAATGATCCCAATACGTATGATTGTATGAACTATGAAAAGATCTTAAAATCAATACAAATGTATTTATTATAAACGTTAGTCCTTAACATCTATCACTGTGTATATCACCATTCAAACATCTTTTAAAAGTTGAACAAACCCCACACAGCTCAGTAAAGACTGTGAAATGTTGACTTTATTTGATCATTTCAGTAAAAACTAACGTTCATATTTCTCTTTTTGATTATAATACTGATGAACGTTCAAAACAAAGCACTTTGGCAACTTACCACATACGTTTTAAAATGCTTAATAAGCACCGTAACTTTCATGATATAATTTCTCGTTCATAATCGGTTGTTTCCGTGAATGGCCGACTGTTGTGTGACGGCAAATGCTGCGGCCGCAAGGCATTGTGGGGCAGCATTTTCTCCTCTCCTTTCGGTTAGGGAGGTCCAGTGGTTCCTAAGCTAAAGGAGGTTATAAAGGAAGTTTGAAACCTCCTTTCCTTTTAATTTAGAGAATTCGAACGGCACTTATCATGGCTGCCACTGAGGGACTTCCGGGTCATTTCACTCCGTTAGGAAGGTTCCTAAGCTAAATGGACTATTCGAATGCAACCCTGATCTAGGGGACTACAACTCTAAACACCCATATGAAAAAGATCGGTTTACATTTTAATAATCAAATATGTGAACATAACCAATAACCTACCATAACAAATAAATGTAACTTATTTTATTTTTGTTGTTCATTCATATCTTATTTTACCTAGTTAAAATGTATTTATGCATATTTTTATATCTCTCAAGTTTTAAACGATATTTTTGGTTTACTGTCCTATAGTATACATTGAAATGATTTCAAACCTGTTTATCCAAATAATTATAAAGGAGTGCCTTGGAAATATTTGTTCACATAAATTGCATTTATCTCTCTCGCTCGCTCCCACGCCCACTTTGGCTGTGAGCTGCGGACGCCTGATAAGCCAACACCCCCCACTTTCATCACTTACAGCGCCCATCGTACAGGGCAAATGAAAAGTGTAACCGGGGTGAAAAGGGTGTTACCTTTACTTAATTATGAATGTTGTTACATCAAGGCCGAAAATTAGGATGAGCGCAAACAGTCAAAAAGGTTTTTTTCCCTCCCGGTGCTACCAGCGCAGCCCCCCCCCCCAGAACTTGTTTAATTTGTTATCACAATTACAAATGTCATGTTTTTTTTTATTCTTGAAGAGAATGTCTTTTTTTCTGGCATTCTTCCAGGATTAACAAAAATAAGAATAACATTGAGAAAAATCTTTGAAGTAAATGGCTGTTGTTAAACGCTTCCCACATTTACTTCAATCGTTCAGTAGAAAAGATAAAAGTACCCCAGCAATACACAATAGAATATATAAAGAATAAATTAAAAATCTCTTCAAAAGACAAATACACTCCAAAAACTGAAACTTATTGACATAGGTAATATACATCAAAAAGGCTTCAAATGTATTCAGTATTGTATGAACATGTTTTAATTGGGGTGTGGACGTCACATCCTGTAGGGGGGTCCGGGGGTATGCCCCCCCGGGAAGAAATGTTTGAAAATGTAAAGTAAAATGCTTCAATCTGGTCCACTTTAAGCACACATTACTAGAGACTAGATCTAGGGGACTACAACTCTAAACACCCATATGAAAAAGATCGGTTTACATTTTAATAACCAAATATGTGAACATAACCAATAACCTACCATAGCCAATAACAAATAAATGTCATTACATGTCAATACATTCATATCTTATTTTACCTAGTTAAAATGTATTTATGCATATTTTTATATCTCTCAAGTTTTAAACGATATTTTTGGTTTACTGTCCTATAGTATACATTGAAATGATTTCTAACCTGTTTATCCAAATAATTATAAAGGAGTGTCTTGGAAATATTTGTTTACATAAATTGCATTTATCTCTCTCGCTCCCTCCCACGCCCACTTTGGCTGTGAGCTGCGGACGCCTGATAAGCCAACACCCCCCACTTTCATCACTTACAGCGCCCATCGTACAGGGCAAATGAAAAGTGTAACCGGGGTGAAAAGGGTGTTACCTTTACTTAATTATGAATGTTGTTACATCAAGGCTGAAAATTAGGATGAGCGCAAACAGTCAAAAAGTTTTTTTTCCCCCCCAGATCTGGCGCCCTAGGCGACCGCCTATGTCGCCTATGCCAAAAACCGGCCTTGTACACCATGCTAAATGTATGTCTGCATAAAGCTGAGTTATGATCGGTCATAATAACACAGAATTTGGTGATGATTAAATAGTTTACAGTGAGATTTACTTCCATACTTTTGTCCATACTCACGCAGCCCTACAAATGAATTGAGATTTCCACACAAATGTTCTTTAGCAAGTGTGCAGAGCAGTGTTGATTTAAAAAAGCAATTTGAAGGTTGGATATTTGTAAACCTTTTTTTGTGTATATATATTAATAATTTAAGATGTAAATTAATTCCAGTTTATTTGTAGTACTTTCTATTTTTATTGTGACATTTGGTGGCATCAATGTGTGCATTTGATACAGATAATGGAGCAGTTGCTTTAGGGCCACAGTGTAGGCCTATATCCCTTAAGGTCAAATAATGAGATCCTCGACCTCCGCCCCCCTCTCGCACCTCCATACAGAGCCCCCCCACATATCAAATCCCAACTTAACCCCTGGGTATATCAGTGGTGGCTTTAACAACTCACAGTAGTGTAGATAAAGACATGTGCGAGACTTATTCGAAATACTGTCTCTGTGAAGAGGATTACTTATGAAAACATAATAGTATTTTGGTGGAACTGTATTAATCTGATTTTAGTATTGCTCTTCATTTAAAAAATATGGTACTAGGCCTGATACAAATGAAAGGCAAACTCGACACAGGAGAGGCCAACATTTTCTGATGTGCTCACCTTGTTTGAACATTTCACCCTAATATGGGTCAAATATGATTATGTGTTTGTTAAACTAGAACTTCATACAAATGTTTAGCCTGGAGAACATTTCAAAAGCTGTTCTGCAAGCAACAATAATCGTATATTAAGTAAAAAGCAATAGGCATATAAGACTAATGGGCAAAGTGAGAACTGCAGTCAGGATATACACAACAAAAACATTTTAGTTTTCTCAGGTTTTGCCTTTCAAGTTTAATTCAAGCTAGTGCAATTGTTTGTGTGCCCTGACACATATCCTCTGTAAAGTCTCCCTCTAAGTGTGTGTTTGCTGTTTCCAGAGTTGTTTGGGAAGCACCAGCATGAGCTGAGGATCGCTGGCGGCGCCGTGCGGGACCTGCTGTCCGGGAAGCGGCCTGACGATGTGGACTTTGCCACCACAGCAACTCCAGAGGAGATGAAGCAAATGTTCCAGAAAGCTGGCATCAGGATGATCAACAACAAAGGAGAGAAACATGGGACCATTACAGCAAGAGTAAGAGGCACGCAGGATGTAACTGTATCCTGCTTTCAATTAGTTACATTTCTGCTTTCAAGCTGCTGTAAACACTACTTAAACTATTTGCCAAGTCCTTTACTTTTGCAGAACATTAGCTTAACTTTAAAGTACTCATTGTGCATAATAGCCCATTACATAATCATATGTATTAAATGATTGGATTATGACTATTGATGCATTTATGTATTCATCAAAGCTGGTAAATGTGGAGCAAAATTGAATTACTTTATATGCTGTTGCTGCTGGATTACTTAACCTTTTAATAATATAACAGTTTTTGGATAAATAGAAGAATCACTGTTCTCATAGCATTTGCTGATTGTGACACAATATATTTATTTTTTTCCTTTTAAAATATTTTTTATTGATATACTTAGTCCGTAACAGATGTGATTCGCTCAGAATACAAACTCAGGTTTGTTTTACATAAGGGAAATCACAACAAAGAATCAAAAAACAAAACAAAAATGAAATAAAAAGTATATTTAAATTGAAATTAAAGCTGATTACAGAGCAATGATATGCAGAGGGGACCTAGATATGTTCTCATTATGTCTCCCAGTCGCTTCTATTCATATTCATCGAAGGTCGAGCACTGTGCTGAATTTATGAATAACCATTCATACACACTTACCCAGCTATACCCATGTTCATATACATACATACTTACTTACTTGAATACATATACATATATACAAATGTACAAACATGGGCAGTCTCACAATCAGCAGGTAAGCAGAACTGAAAAGAACCCGTGTGCAGTGAAGGAAAACATGCTCAGGGTTAGGGCCCTCATTAAAAGAGCATTAATGTTGTATTTTAGTTTTTGTGTTTGCAATATTCTATCATTTTTCTCCATCTATTATCAGCTATGTGTTTTGGTTACTCGTTGTATATGTTTTCCTTTCCACATTAGACACTTGCCCTCTGAAATACTGCTAACCTTCATCTAAGAGAGTGGCTTTGACTTCAGAATGAGGCCATATTTACACGTCTCCAGGCATTAGGCATAATTCTTATTTTGCCTTTTTTAATCATCGGTGTTTTGTTTATCGGTTTCGCGCACAGCTACACAATGAGAACTTCGAGGTGACCACGTTGCGGGTGGATGTTCAGACGGATGGACGTCACGCAGAGGTGGAGTTCACCACCGACTGGCAGAAAGACTCTGAGCGCAGAGACCTCACCATCAACTCCATGTTTTTAGGTATTTGTGTTTTTTTCCCACTCAATTAAAGGACTTGTATTTGTGTTTGGTATTAGTTCACAAGACATTGTCCCCTATTTTATCACGATTAATTATACTTGTCAGACGTTTATCATCTTTATTTTACTCTCTCACAGGGCTTGATGGCACATTATACGACTATTTCAAAGGATACGAAGACCTGAAGGAGCGCAAAGTCCGCTTTGTTGGCAGCGCTGAACAAAGAATCCAAGAGGACTACCTGAGAATACTGCGCTATTTCAGGTGGGATGTCTTTATTTCACTTCAACCTTGTGTTAGGAAAATATCACTCGTCACCGGCTTGAGCTTCAATAACAGGATACATGTATTTATTATCCTTGCAAGAATAGAAGTAGTCATCACACACAGAGCATTTGGTACAACTAGTTCCTGAACAGTGTCCTTCACATGCTGATATACAAGAGAGGGAGTTACACAGTCACAAGATGGAGGAATACCGGTTCAAAGCAGTATTCAATGTTTAGTTCAGATTAGCTCCACGTCAGAAATGAACATGCTTGTCATATGTCTATCTCCATAGAGGCTGAATCATCATGTTAATCACATAGCTATCGTATGCCTAAAACAGTCCTGATGCTCTTCTAGGTAATCATACATCCTGTCATGTACACAGCTACGTAGGGCCTTTGTTATCATGTGTACTCTGATATTGGAAGAGTACATTCAGTATTTTCCCAACACCTTAAAAGGAAAAATTAAATAAATTAGCAGAGAATCACTTATATTTCTACTTTATCCCTCATCTCACTTTGAACTAAAATAGCCAATGAAAGAAAGAAGAAATTCATCATTTGTATTTGTTTGACGTACAAGAACCTCAACCTCCAGTCTCTTATTCCCCCCCCCCCAGGTTTTACGGCAGGGTGGCTCCGGAGCCCGACCGTCACGACCCGAAGACGCTGGTCGCCATCCGGGAAAACGGTCGTGGCCTTGCAGCGATATCTGGAGAACGGATTTGGACGGAGCTGAAGAAGATGGTTGTTGGTAACCATGCTGATCACCTGCTGGAGCTGATGTACAGTCTGGAGCTGGTCCAGTACATAGGTGAGAGGGGGGGGGCAATCAAAGGTATTCAAAGATCATTATTTTTCGCCTTTTTTCAGATAAGGCACACAGATGGAGTGGAAAGTATAAAAGAGAGGAGACAACGATGACATTTAGCAAAGAGCTGTGGGTCAATATATCTGGGTCCATTATGAAATATGTTTAAATATTTATTTACTCAAGAACACACGAGAAAAGGTTGTACTTAAATAAACCTGACCTGATGGCAGTTATTTATGATAGTACTTACCATTATTTACCATTTAAGAAAAGAATAGACACTTTTATATGAAGCTGGGGCAGAGGGCAGTTTGCTCACCTCTACTTAAACACTAGAAAAAAAGGAAATCGGAACGTGTTTACTTAACATTTTTTCAGTGCTGTTTTTCGATTAAAGGGGGGATATGTGGTTACAGTATGGATGCACATGGCTGTTTCAAACTACTGCATTTGGCCAAGTTTGGTAAACATGTCCCCACCTGTTGGAACGTCTCCTCCAATTTGGTCCTGGCTCAGACCCCTTTTTGAAAATGTTCTGAGACAACATGTAGCATGCTAATAAGTCATTGGTGCAATCCCAAATCCTACACTTGCAGAGTTTGTGGTGTATTCCAGCTTTATATGCCTCTGTATCGTTTTATGCGTTTCCATGTCGGCCTCGTGTGGCCGAACCGTCTATATGATAGAGAACTGTAGCGGATATGACCGTTGTCGTCCTCGTGTGGCTGGGGCCTAAGGATCATTGGGATTTGGCCATTGTTTCCAAAGTACATGCATCAGTAAATGGGATCAGTAGTGTCAAGAATCGGATCATTGGAGCTGATTCTAAATGAGGAAATATTAAATGTTCTTCCCTGAGATGGAGTGGATTCAGTGCCCCTTGACTTATGTGAACTCTGGTATTAGTGATCACTAGGCAGAAATGATTCAATGCCTCTTGATTGTTGAAGTCTTCTCAAGTAATTCTGTACGATTTCTACAAGGATATTAAGACTTTTCGGCTTTTTACCAACAGCAAAATGTAGTATTCTGTGTTGTTGTACTTGTTAAAGTCACGTCTGCTGCTCCTCAGGTTTGCCTCCAGATGGCAACGTGGAGGAGATTAAGCGAGTGTGGCAGAAAGCCAAAGACCACTCTCCCAAACCCATGACCGTCCTGGCTGCTCTTTTCCGCCGCCCGGAGGAGGTGGAGAGGATGGACCTCCGGCTGAAGGTGTCCAAGGAGGAGAAGACCCTGGCTCTGTTCCTGGTCAAATACAGACAGGAGCTGTGCAAGAGCAGAGAGGAGCCGGACAGCCTGAAACCCTTCACTGACTTCATCATCGACGTGAGTTTAAGCCTCCTCTGTAGAAACAAGCCCATGCTAATTGTACATGTGTGGTGTTATAAAAAAGACAGGAGAGATTTATGGTTTGGACACTTAACAGAACAATGTAGTCATTGATTAATATAACATATTCTTATCAGGCTTGATTTTTCATCAGCTTAGTGATGTGCCAGTTGATGAAGTGACTGCTAACTTAACATCATAGTGTCTATCACACTTAAAACAGATCAAAGTACAGAAGTATAAAATATAAATACTAGCACAACTATAATGTTACAATTAATTTAATCTAACATTTCACAATACAGTCCGAGTAATGCTGTTCAACATCCATTTTCTGCACCATGGGAAAAATAGTGGAAGTCTGTGCACGTCTTAAACTCAGCTGGAAGCATGTTCCAATGTTCGATGGCCATAAAAGAAAAGGCAGCAAACCTAACAGGTTCCAGATTAAATGTGCATGTTTTCCTCGCCAGCTATGATGTTACCTGTACAAAGCACGTTTGCGTTCTGAACTGTCTGTCAGACAAAACAAGACAAATTTGAAGACTTAACATTGGGACATTGCGCTCTTGGGAAATGTGTTCAGCTCTCCCCAGGGGACACAAATAATCAAGTCATTTAATCAGCCACTGAACCACACATGAACATAATTGTGACTCCAGCCAACTTTGAATGCAGGAAACACACTTCGTTAACTCGCTTCCTTCATCTTGCTGGACAGTTTCCACCTCCATCCATCACCCACTTCTGAATGAAAAGTGGGTTTTTAAATATCTACACACCGTTTACTTTGCTTTGTGTTAGAAGTGGGGAAAAAAGGAGATGTCACACATTTCTGTGAAACAATTAGGAATATTTTCTTCAAAATAGTACGACAGTTGTCAGCTGCTGTCAATCAAATCCAATCAAACACGCCCACAAATCCTGATGAAGCAAATCAGAGGAGTCTTGAACTCTAAATAAATAATTACCAACTTCCCCCTTTTTTAATAGTGCTTATAATTATTTGATAGGAAGTACTTTAAATCTGACAGGGGCTTTAAAGGTCCCCTGTTATACTGTTTTTCATCAATATATTATAGGTCTCAGATATATACAAAACATGTCTCTGAAGTGATTGGCACCAAACACCAAACAGATCATTTCAGCATCCCATAATCCCCTCTGATTCAGCCCTGTTTCAAAAGTGTTGATTCTCTGTCTGTTACTTTAGATGAAAAATAAGGAGCCCCTCCCCACGCCCCTCTGAGAGATATTTGGTTAAAAAGAACACAATGGTGCTCGAGGAGGAGATTCAGGTGATAAGGTGGGGGGGGGGGGGTTACCTTGGTTGGTGATTGGCTAATGGTTACATTACACAAGTGGCCAAAATCTGATCAGCTCATTTTCAGACAGGTTTTTATATAAATGGATCAGGACAAAAAGAGAAAGAATATTTTTTCCTGAAACTTTCAGAATCTCTTTCCACAGAGGGGACACATGTTGATGTAGAAGAGACATGAAGAAGAGGGGACACATGTTGATGTAGAAGAGACATGAAAAAGTGGATTTTGCATAATAGGTGACCTTTAACTCAAATGTGTCTTTTCAGAGTCGAGAGCTGGACACCCAGAGTAAAGTGTGTGAGCTGCTGAAGTATCAGGGTGAGGAGAAGCTGCATGCGGAGCTCAGCGGGTGGTCCGTCCCTCGCTTCCCCGTCAACGGACACGACCTCCGGAGGATGGGCATCACGACGGGAAAGGAGATCGGCTCCACCTTACAGGACCTCCGCGACGTCTGGAAGAAAAGCGGCTATCAGATGGACAAAGATGAACTCCTCAGTCACGTAAAGTCGTGATTTGAGGAGGAAAGTGGACGTGCTTTTGTCCTGTCGCACCATAATGGTTTGGCTGCTGTAATCGTGCTCTTCAAGGGTATTGATTGAGACGTTTTAGTTTGAGAAAAACAGAGCTGCTGATTTCATTCTAAAGTAGCCCTATTTTGTTCTCCATCACCATATAAAGAGATCACAAAATGCTCTAGCGGGCAGCATATGAGGACAAATGTGTACTAGAAACAGCTTTTTATATAATTTGATATATAAGTTTGGTTTTGTCTCCTCAGTTGAACTGCAGATGTGTATCATTTCTGAAAAGAACATGCTCTATAAATAGGTTGTACTTTTTATTGAAAAGACTGAAATGGTGATTGAGGTTGAGGTGCATGCAGTGCAGAATACAACTCCGTGTGTGTGATGCTGTGTGAAGTGTTTTCTGTGCTGGGGAGAGGTTGCTCCTCCCTCCTGCAGAGAAGAGGAGATATAAAGCCCTCTGCTCTCCTTTACTAGCATTTTACTCTCTGCCTGGAGACCCTCAACATGTGTTATTTTACCACTAAACTTTCATATCCCGATTTTTTTTCTAGGAATTTCCCTAATATTTAAAGTCATATTCCAGGCTGCCTGCTTATAATTGTTTTATTGAAATGCCCCACTTCATCTAGATTAACCTGTAATAGTGTATAAAGGCTACTTTTAAGCATGTCTTGGTTCTTTGTAAACATCAGTAACATCACTTTGGAGGACGCACACTCTGACGATGATCCGCGGGATGAGCGCTTGGCTCGGGTGGAAATAGCTCTCCTGTCCATCATCTTCATCACCGCGGGGATCCTAAACTTCGGGCTGCTGCTGGTGCTGTGGAAGCGGAGGAAGCAGCTCTCCAGGATGCGCGTCTTCGTCCTCCACCTGTGCGTCGCCGACCTTGTGGTCACATTTTTCCAAGTTTGCCCGCAACTCATGTGGGATATCACTGACCGGTTCGTGGGGCCGGACGTATTGTGTCGCGCTGTGAAGTATCTGCAGGTGGTCGGGATGTTTGCATCTACTTATATGATTGTAGTGATGACGATAGACAGATATCAAGCCATCTGCAAACCCATGGTGACTTTCCAGAGGCGCAGGTCGCGCTGGAACGGTCCAGTTTGCGCCGCCTGGTGCGCCTCTCTCATCGGCAGCCTCCCGCAGATCTTCATCTTCTCCCGGGTGGAGGTGGCCCCCGGTGTGTACGATTGCTGGGCTCAGTTCATTAAACCGTGGGGCCCCAGAGCCTACGTGACGTGGACCACTCTGGTGATATTCGTGCTGCCCATTTTCATGGTGATCGTGTGTCAGGTGCGCATCTGCCGCACTGTGTACAACAACTTCTACATGAAGACGCAGCAGGGCGCAGGGAAGGCCAGGAAGCCGCTGTCCTCGCGGGCCAGCAGCGTGGTTGGGGTGTCTAAAGCGAGGGTGAAGACGGTGAAGATGACCGTAGTGATCGTGTTCGTTTACATCCTCTGCTGGGCGCCTTTCTTCACCGTGCAGCTGTGGTCCGTGTGGGACGTGGAGGCACCCACTCAGAGTAAGAGGACAGGGTTTTGGATCTCACAACATGAACAAATATAACATTTATTTTGTTTTTGGTACAGGAAAAAGACACAAGACAAGGCATGAGGATACAAAGTAAAGCTGCTTCAATCTATAGAGATATCCCATTATGAAATATGAGGAAATCCAAATATCACAATATATCTGATTGACTTCCGCTGCTGTACACCCAATGAGAGTTTTAATAAGTTATCATCAGTAATGTGGAATAAATTGGGGTAGGTTCAGAAAAGGAGGCACCTGCTCAGAGAAAAAGGACAGCGTTTGGTATCTCACAACATGAATAAATATTACATATTTTGGAAGCCAGACACATTGAATAAGCCGTAGTCTATAGCTAAACCAGCTTTTTTCTATTTATTTTGAACATACTTTTCAGATTCAGAATACTTTATTGTCCATTATATGTATTTACATTTACATTTTTTTTCTTTGCCACTGGCAAATAAAACATTCACCAAACACAGTAGCCTACAACAAACTTTCTTTTTCTGATGTCCTTATCTCTTTCATAATGTGTGCAATGATATGTATTCTTGCCGTGTTTTAGGATTTGTAACTATATATACCGATATGTTCTCATGTCTTAAAAAATCATAAATGCATAGTCTGCCCCAGAGAACACAGGAGTATGAGTGTTGTCAATTGTTTACACCTCCCTCCCTCCCCCCATACAGAACTGCAAATGTAATCGCAATTAAAATGTTACCTCCAAAAGGAATGACAGGGAAAGTTAAATATTGTACTTCTTTTGTTTCTTCCAGGTGCTACCTTCACCATCCTGATGCTGCTGGCCAGTCTGAACAGCTGTGCAAACCCCGTCATCTACCTGCTGTTCAGCGGGAAGCTGCCAAAGACCCTGGTGGCCCTGATGTGTGCCGGTCAGCCCGACCTGAAGGAGTCCATCCAGGAGGAGGCCACCATGGTCAGCTCGCTGTACATCGTCAGAGTCTGTCAGAGTCTGTCAGAGAGCAGACGTCCGGACCCCTCGGAATCTTAAACTCACCTCAGGACAGCATGGTTTTCGCACAAGAAAGACTTACGGTATTGTCATTGTCTAATAAGTGTGAAGAAGAAGTCAGTGTAGTTACAGTATAATATAGTGAGACAATATTTTTGAGGTAAAACACACACAATAAGTCTTTACAGGGATATTACAATGGAACACTTGCTATCAAGTCGGTATTACTTTACACATTCTTTAAAAACATTGAACGATTGTTTTACTTTTTTTTAAAAAACCATGCTAGTGGTGTGGTTCTAGAGATGGTGGTTTATCCATTGGTTGGTCCACCACTTGGGTCCAGACTGACACTACTGGATGGATTCCCATTACTTTTTGTACAGACATTCAGGTTTCCAGAAGATGAATACGTTGACTGATTTATTTAGCGCTACCAGCAGGTCAACGTTTTCCCATATCCACCGAATCATGTTGACATCTCAATCGTTACAAAAGATGCATGGCATTCATGGTTCCCTGAGGTTGAATTGACTCTGTTGATCTCCAGACCTTTCTTCTCCTGTCAATATGAAGATGACATTTTGTGGTTTTGAGTGACATGTCCTTACAACTGTTGAATGCATGAATGGTTCCAAGGGGATGAATTGTAATATTTTTGGTGATCCCTGACTTTTTCCTTTGTTGCATCATCAGGTCAATCTTATATTTTTCCATATCTTCGGTGTACAACCAACTACCTGCACAACTAACTATTCCCATCAGCCTCAGCCATATTCTGAATGAGCATCGGGAGCACCAGGAGCTTTTCCAATTGGCCTCTCGACACATAGGGTAGAGCAAGGTCATTTGGGTACTCAGGTAAAATAGGATAAAAAAGGGTTCTACAACCTGGGCTCTTTTTTTTTTGTATGCAGCTAATCTTCAAACTAATATAGCATTGGTGCTTAAAAGGTTGTTTACATGAAACAATCATTTTGAGATTTAGATAAGTGAGAACATTGCATAAGGTTGATGCACTCAACGTCGTACATTTTTGACCAATCACTCCCTGGATGGGGGCAGTATATTGTACAAAAAAAGGTTTAGGTAATACAGTTACATTTTAAAATGGTCAATTCAATATGCATTAGTGGCAAGAGGATTGTCTTGCAAGTAGATTTAGTGTCTGATTAGAACCTACAAAAATGGAAAGGTTGGTTTTGTATTTCTTTAACAGTTTAATTGTCCAATTGTAATTTATTGCAGCTTTTCTTAGCTGCCGCTGGTCTTTTTTTGTACCTACATTTGCTCAAGAGTTCACATAAATAAAAGTTGAATAAAAGTATCAGCAACGTGACACATTATCAGGTAGAGAAAACGTGTTACCTATCTAACGTTCTCTGAATGCTAAATACTGTATATATATATATTTTAATGAAATATTAATATGGGAGACTATTGAACGCCAGTAAAATATCCAAAGAAATATGACCCTGAATACATTACATTTTGATTAATAATTGAATACGATAGTTGGAGCTCACAGGAGCATAAAACATACTCACTGCTCAGTTTATTCTTTCTCCTTTTTTGGGACATATTGTGTTTTTTTCCCTTATTTATTTAGGAAGGTGGTCCTTTGAGATTTTCAGATAATGGCCATACCTTTCAAAATGTTGAGAAGCCCGGGTATATAGTACATTATAATTATTGTATTATATACAAATGAATATTATACTGGTCAGATGGTTCCAGAGATATTTTCCATCCTGCTGCCAGTGCCATTGTGCCAACATGTGTTTTTATAGCTAGCATTCTTTTCAAAGAAACACATTCTGTTTTACGTCTATTTAACTGAAGTTATTTTTATAACAATTGCTCAGTAATCTTGTTTGGATTAAGTGTGTCATTGGATGTGTGGTTGGTGGTGAATCACTGGCTCAGCCTCATGTATGTTTATTTGTAAGTAGCAGATGGTAGCATAAAAACACACCTAAACTAAAATGGTTAACATGGTTATCAATATACCTACTAAACATCTGCATGTACTCTGACATAGCAACACAGTCTCACGGCATTTCGTGTTATAGTCACAAAATGAATCTATTGATTCATGTTCACCAACACGATTTCGCAATTTTTTTCGTTTCACACAGAACGATTTTAAAAGCAATGTAAATAACAAATTAGAAGGAAAAAAAGATGACAAAAAATACAGATTTCAGTATTCTGAGGCTCTGAGCCCCATTTCTTTTCCTTGTGGATGGCAAAAAAACTCCGACATTATACAATTTAAAATAAAAGGCATAGCTTAGGCCTTAGGGTAAGATATTGAGTAAGAAAATGTTTTTATGAACCACACAGCTTCTGGTATTCCAAGACCCGACCGGACAAAAAGAGGTGGTGCAGGCACGAAACATACTACCAATAGAAATACATTGCTTTTAAAATCGTTCTGTGTGATTCGAAAAAAAAATGCGAAAATCGTGTTGGTGAACACGAATCAATAGATTAAATTAGTTTCGCGACTATAACACGAAATGCCGTGAGACTGGGTTGGACATAGACATACAAGTTTATGTTTGTGGCTTTCATCAAGGTCACTTCTCTAGGTTTTTTCATACCAGAAATCCCTGCTCCCCTCCAAAGACTGTATATAAAAAGAAGGAACTGTAAGTGTCAAAGGAGGGGGGAAGCAAGTACAACCGGACACTAAACAAGACCATAATGTTACAATTAATGCGCTGAAAACAAATTGTGACACGGTTAACATTTGGAAACAGGGACGAACACCCAAACCTGACAACGTGGTAGCGTCTTGTCGACCTCAGGGTAGCCACCCAATAAAGCATATTCTTTATGTCTATTGTACTCTAAATGGGATCCTTATTGACAAAATGAGGCTTGAAGTATACTCCGAGCTATCACTTGAGACCATAAACTCATGAGTAAAAAATGTTTACATATGTATTAAATCAACTAAGAAGTAGTGTCATTTTCTCACTGACTTCTATACAATCTGACATCTTTTTGAAACCACTTTTTAGTCGCACGTGGTGGCCATTGAAGAGAATGCACCGACTTTACTGTTCAAACCTCTTTGGGACAGCATTGACCTTAGCATTCGCACACAACACTGTTTGCCTAAGTAGAAATGTTTCTTATTTTCTCAGTCAAAAATTGTATTCAGGAGCCACAGCACAATATCAGGATATTTTCTCGAAATAATGAACACGTATAATGAAATGGACATGCCATTTGCATTAAAGTTGGTGCTTATATTTCATTGGATGTTACATTTTAGTCAAGGATGTTAATGTAACAAAATGATCTTGTGAAATGTTTCAGAAATTCATCTAAATGCTGTGTGATTTTAAAGTGTTTCACTCATATGAGAATGTGGTTTATCTTGTAAATATGTATCTTATGTCCATTAAATGTGAACTTTCAATCTAGTTTGCTGCAATGTTATATGATTATATGTAAAAGATATCTGATTGTTGTTGGTCATAATAGTCAGTAATTACACAACATGTGTCTGTGATTCAAATATATATCTTCAAATATGCAGCTTGATGCTCAGTGATCAATGTTTCAACATGTTTACATTTTTGCTCTCAACCCCTGAGGAGAGACCTCTGTGGTGTTGCCAAATAAACTGTCTTTTAACATTTCTATTTCCCTTCATCCCAGCGCCGTTCTACTTGTTAGGGAAAATATTCCTTTGGATTTAAAGTTCAAACACTTCTTAGCACTCTGTTAAGTCCTGAGCCTGTTTTTCAGGTCTCAGGCTCGAAAATGACATTCCCAGAACAAATGACCATAACTTCACTTCTAAAAGGGGTAAATTAATAATCTTTTTTCTCAAAGCAAGGTTACATCTGTGAGTTGGATGTAGAAGTGTCAGAATCAATATAGATGTTTTTATTTTAAAGTAAATTCAGATTGAACATAGTAAAACATTTTTAATTATAGTGTCCGTCCAAAAAGAAAAGATTAGTGAAAACCACCCTTGGATGATGGGTTAGTAGACTAAAAGCTTTAGGAATCCAAACTATAACATATAATAAGTACCCATACTTGCCAACCTTGAGACCTCAGAAAGCGGGAGCATTTCCAAAACCACCGCGGGGGGGGGGGGGGGTGCTAGTGGATCGCCGGGGGCTGGACCTGTATTTTACAGGAAAGGAGTGAGCAGAGGGTAGAATTGTCTATTCTTGTTCTGTTTGCTGTGACTATCTTCCTCACCCTCTCAGACTTTCAGTTGCGCGCGCTACGCTACCATGGAAACCAAACAATGGTGTAGCTGTATTAAAGTCCGAGTGGAAACAGTCCTGAGTAAATCTGATTTTGTCAGAAATCGGGAGAAATGCGGGAGAAATATGACCCCGGGAGGAAACCGGGAGAGGGCAATGAAATCGGGAGTCTCCCGCAAAAATCGGGAGGGTTGGCAAGTATGTAAGTACCCTGTATCAAGATTGATGCAAAACAAGTGAAGTTTGACCTTTTTAGAGAGATTTAGAAAAAAAAAAACACTTCTGGGGTCATTTGGGTGCATTTTCCATATCTCTGGCCCCCCTCGGTCGATTTTGATGATTGACATCTCTTTTTAACCGTTAGAGCCAATAGAATCGAGGGGAAGTTCCTAAAATCCATCTAAACCTTACCCATTGGTGAATGAGTGCTGCGTAGCCAGAATGCCCAGGAACCGGAAGCTGCGATACACTCTGCTGGCTACCATTAGCAGCTAATATAAAATCTCCGATTTTTACATAAAAATGGAATTATGGATTATCAATATTTTTTTCAAAGTGACAGACACATTGGATTAATTTATGGATTAACCTTCAGCCGCGTTTTTATCTTTTTAATGCCATTGAACACGACTTTTGATCAGAATAACAGCTAAGGTGAGACGATCTCCCGTGTTTGCTCCGTAATGCTACATGTTGTGATGTCTGTGTTTGCTTCCCCTGTCACGAGTTTGGATCGCTCAGTGATGATACTAATACCTATAGAATCTGTGGAATCTCAGTTTTAATCTGATATCCTGTATGTGCAGTTACAATAAGTAATAAAGGTATTTTTACCTTGAGTTCTGTGCTAAGTGCGTTAGCATTTTTTCGCTCAGGGGTCATTTAGACGCTTCTTATGAGACTTGTGTTTTGTTTTGGTAAAAATAGTTCGTATTGTCAGTTAGCTGAGTTTCTTCCCGTTAATCTGGTATGACACATTAATAGGTTTTTAAATATTAAGAAGTCCTGAGACACAGTTTCGTGAAAAAAACCCTGCAGCCCCCTCTACCGGGGGCTATCGGGCTAAACAGGTTAAAGGTCCCATGTCATGCTTTTCCCATCCCCTTGTGTGTTATGAAGGTTTTTATGCATGTAAACGGTCTGCAGAGTCAAAAACCCTCAAAGTACACCCTGTAGCGAGTAAAACTCTAACACAGTCTATTTTGCCCCAAAACGCCTCGTTGGAGATTTCTCATTTTCCATTGTTTACTTCCTGGGTACTGTGACGTGTGAATACCCAGAGGCCACACCCTCTGCCAGCATTTCACGAAACAAAGCTTCACAAACCTTTCAGCGATTCATGCCGGATATGTACAGCGTAGGGCACTGAAGAACGATGCTGTTCCTACTTTGTTTGGACCAGCGGGAGATTCGGGTACACAACCTGTAAGTATTCATTGTTGTTTGTGTATTTATGATGTTTAAAACAAACAAGGTATCTACCACGACTGTTTAAATGGGTAAACGTTTTTCGGGCTACTAAGTTGGGATCGCGGAGAAATGCTCTCCGCAGACCCATGCTCACAGCGTTATAAACCTTTTTCTTACTCAATATCAAGCCACACTTATTGTTTTTACTTCGGCTGTGAGTGTTTGTGTGTGCTCAGGATGAGTTTCGCTTGTTCTCGCTGTATCGCCGACCTGGAAGCCTGTCCGCTCCTCGCAGCAACGAGCCTCGCAACTTCCCGACCAATCAGAGCACACTGGGCTCACAGGGAGGGGGGGGCAGGAGCTCCAACAAGCCGTTTAGGACAGAGAGTGAATACCGGTGAATACACATACTTTACAGAGATGCTGTATGAGAAACCAATGTGAGTTTGGAAAATTGCACAGTATAAATCTATTTTAGTATACCTCAACAATGGAATTATGATCAGTAGAAATGGCCATGACTCGGGCCCTTTAAAGGGCTCAGACACCACTGTTTGTCTGCAGTTCATCTTGTTTTCTGACACCAAAACGTTTCCTCATTCTTCAATCGACAAGGGGGATTATCAGGTGACGGGCAGAAAGACATTTTTCAAGGGTAATTGCTTTGTCTTGTCCAAGTGAT